CCGCCGCCGCAGCCGCCAAGTGCCAGCTGTGCGACCGCAGCCCTCCCGAGCCGGCCGCCGTGCTGTGCGAGCAGTGCGAGGTGCTGTACTGCGCCGCTTGCCAGCTCCGGTGCCACCCGGCCCGCGGGCCCTTCGCCAAGCACCGCCTGGCCCCGCCGCCCGGACAACCGGGCGCCCCCGGCGGCGGCGGCGGCGATGGCGGCGGCGGCGGCGGGAAGGGGGCGGGCGGGGGTCGCAAGCTGCCGACCTGCGCCGAGCACGACCTGGAGAACTACAGCATGTACTGCGTGAGCTGCCGCAGCCCCGTCTGCTACCAGTGCCTGGAGGAGGGCAAGCACGGCAAGCACGACGTGAAGGCGCTGGGTGCCATGTGGAAGCAGCACAAGGTGAGTCCCCTCGGCCGGCCGGGAGGTGCTCGGCGTTGGGACTTGGTGGTCCCCGTGCCCTGACATTGGGTTGGAGTTTGTGGGACACGAGGCCGCTTCACGTCCATCATCCTTCCAGGCTTTTTTTTCCTCAGGGTACGGTGCTTTGAGGTCTCCAGTCCTTCCTGACTGCCCAGCGACCCCACAGTCTCTGCACAGGGTTGGAAACCCTCCCATGTTGGCCTCACCTTAGCCAGGTGAGGATCCAGGCCTCAGGATCCTCAAATCTCAGGATCCACCAGGCCCTGAGGCAGACACCTGGGATTAGCGAGTCAGTCTCGCTAATTTACTTGCCTTCCACAGTGTCCTTGGCCATCCCATCCTCTCTCGGGTGGCAGCAGCTGCCAGTGAGGAGATGGTATATTCATTCCTTCCTTTCACCACCTCCCTTTCACCACTTCCCTTTCACCAGGGACTCCGTGCAAGATGCCACAACCATTTGCCACCGTGTGCCAATGAGGGAGAGTGTCACAGAGCCACCTGAATGTTTTAGGTCAGGAAAGCGTGATAAAGAGGATCACGGGATATCGTGTTGTCTTTTGACAACACTGACTTCTTCAGAGAAGTCTTCCCTCCCCACTCCAGTCCCAAAGAGGCCAGGCAAAATGGCTTTGTGTCTTCATGACACAAAGATGAGTAAGGAATCGTAGGATGGATAGGGTCTGGGGACGAGTAAAGTTTTTTCTGTTTCACCTAATGTCACGGTTGATTCATGCTTCCTTGCAAGCGATGCTCCTTAGCCCTCCCTGGAGCTCCCTGGGGAGACATCAGAGCCAGACACTTGGCCACACAAGGGGGTTTGCCAAGGTCTGGTAGAGCTGCTGGGTCACTTGGCCACATTCTTCTTGTCAAAAATAAGAGCTTGCAACAACTTGAACAAAGAGCAAGACATGACCTTAGAAGTTGAAAGAATGTATGAAGTTACCTCTCTCTTGCTAAGAGCAGTGGACCTTGGGAAAATGATTAGTTAATACAAATGAAGATACAAAGGTGACTTTAATACCTGAGTGTTAAGAGCAGTCCTTTGGAGCTTCCCGCTGTACTGGGGGGAAAGAACTTTTCCCACAGCTGTGCAAAGAGCACTTGGCCAGCTCTTCTGGCTGCAGGATTCCCTTCTCACTCTCTGCTGCAGTTGGCAGTAGAGGAAGCACAGAGAGATCCTTTCAGATGCTCCAGGAGAGGATAAAATCAAGACTGGTCTCATCATCCCTCAGCTGTGGAGTGGTTGAGCACAAGCTAGGCTCAGACATTTGGCAAGGTAAAAAAATTGACTTTTGATTTTAAAATTCAAAAAAGATGCCCATAGGGCGATCTGCACAGTTAGTCCATCTGGGAAAGACAAACTTCTTCAGTACATCTTTCAGCTTGAATGCTCTGCCAAGGGCTCAGCCACCTCCTCCCTAACAGGATGGATATTTGTACAGAGGAGAAGTTCTCTTGGCCTGGAAGGAGCAGATTGCAAATTTGCAGCTATTGCTGCTTATGCCAATGGCAGAATCCACTTCTGAGCAGAATTATTTTAATGAGCGGGGACTGAGTTCGATGTTCAAGTGTGGTTGATGTTTTGGAGAGAGAACAGCTTGTGCTGTGTTATGGTCTACCTTAGTTGATACTATTTGATGCATTTTGAACAATGTGATAAACTCTGATGTAATCAGAGTCAGTAATTTTCTCTCTTTCCTCCTGTCAAATATTGTCAAAAGAATGAACAATACCCTGGTGGTTTGTGTTTTTACTGCAATTTTTTCTGGGACTGAGGTATCACAGAATGTGATTTTGCTCTTGATTTACAGACTCAATCAATGTGAAAATTCCAGCAAAAGAAAAAAATACTGAAAATTAACTAATTTGGGGACTCTAAAATTGTGCTCTTGTGAATATTATTTTTCCCAGAACAATGTGCTTGGCACAAAATAAATATAATGGAACTATATAGCCAGACAGCCTACAGAATCAGATCCCATTCATTGAGATAAATTGCTCTGGAATTAGAGACTTCTGCTCAGAATTAGTTCTCACATACAGCGATTTTTACAAGTTTATTACCTGTAGTTACTTTGGCCAAACCATAAATTACTTACATTGAGTGGAATGCCAAACGTAATTCAAGTTTTATGCGTTCTCTCCAGATGCTCCAGCCATAGCTGGTTGAGGCAGCTGAAAGGGCTTGTCTGGAAATATCCTTAGCCCAGTAAATTTCACAGACTGACAGGTGTTCACCATCAGCTAACAAGAACCTGCTTAAGTCCTTCTAAGGCCAGTGGCTGGTGTTTGTCACCTAAGAAGGGCTTCCAGGGCCATTTCCCCACCTCTCAGGGCACAGTTTCATCCCACAGCAGCAAACTTCAAACATTTTCTCTGCTGACTGTGTAACTGCTTTTCCAGAAGCCCTGCCCACCTTCAGCTTCAGGATCCATTTCCATTCCACTTCTGTATTAGCCTTTTGTTCAAAGTCTTTGACTTCTCCTTTGTCTGGGCCTTACATAACGATCTAGTGGCAAATTAGAGAGTGTACAACCTTGTCCATACGGTGCTGCAGACCATGCAATGAAATGTACATTTAGCCTCAGCTGTACTGCTGGCACGAAAGCTGTACCAGGCTGATTGGCCCCTGTTAATGGGGTATGTTACTGTATGTAACTTCGCCTACAGAGAAGTTAAAAACAGTGTGAAATAACAACAGGCCTCCAGTGGCATAAATCTGTGAAAATCCACTGACTTAGATGGACTTTATTATATTCACTTGCATGAAAAAGTGCATCTGGACCAGCAGTTTAAGGTTATTAAGTAAAACTGTGTAAGACTACTGCCAAAGCTAAGTCTTTTTATGTGGTCATAGCAAAAACAGTGAACACTATTGTCAGATTTAAGTTGATAGACCTTTTGACCTACCAGTACAGGGAATCATGGTGGACACATTTCAGCTCTGCTCATTCTAAGTGGTTTCATATAGATATGTATATATATATATACACACCAAAACACTGAAAAAAAGCCACAGCTGGATGGGTCTGTGAAGGGCAGGCACACAGGTGCTTGAAGGCAAGTATTAAACTCCAGATACCTACTTTTATTTTGCTGGCCTAAAGAGTTGTGTTCCTAAAAACATGAGGGCTGTTTCAGAATTCAACACCAGGGAAACCTTATCTAATCAATGGTTAATCTGCTGCTAAAGAGAGATGAAGGGAAAACAAGTTAAATGAGCATGAACTGTTTGGCTGAAAAAGGACGTGGGCATTATCTGGTTCATTTTCAAAAATCAAAGGAAGCATCAGTTTTCCATGCCCATCTGGGTTTAATTACTTACCCTTGTTATCACTCTGTTCCGGTATTTGATAGAAGTAGAAACCTTGGTATCCATCTCCAGCACCCACATTATTGGTTGCAAGAGCAGGCATTAAAGATAAGACCAGGTAGAATACTGTTTGTCAGGAGTTACTAATTGTCACAGTCAATGGAGCTTGTAACGTTTCAGTTTGGCTTCCAGTAAATATGTCTGCAGCAGGAAAGATTACTCTGAGTACAGGGCATTTTTTATGGCTTGGTTGGTTTACTGAGGGCTTAGTCATGCAGCTCCATTTGATTTTAATGGGAAGTGCATGACTAAATTCCACTGCTTTGTAAGGTATCTTTGACAAATGCTTGGAAAAACAAGGCTATTATCTCTAAGTGGGTTTCACAAATGGAGATCTGGTCTTCTCCTCAGATTCATGCTGTAGTTACGTTAATGCAGCCAGAGGTTTTAATGAACACAGCAATTTGCTTACGAGCCCTTTGAACAATGACACTGAGTTTCTACTGCAGCTCTTTGCCACGGAGCCGGGCGTGACTGTGCTAATTGCCATCCGGGCGTGACTGTGCTAATTGCCATCGGTACATACGCCAATTGCAATTTGCCTGAGGTGATACAGTTTTCTAGGACTGCTGTGATGCCCACATATAGCTTTTGGCCCTTCTTATGTGGTGAAATGCACTTTGAGATGATTTGAGAGGTAGGGCAGGTGCTGGAAAAGTGGAAGTTTTACTTTTGTCGGGACCAAGCATTGGTTTTGATTTGAAAGAAGGGAGCCCTTGTCCCCCTGCGACAATTCGGTCAAGCCAGTCAATGGCAGAGCATACCATGCTTTTGCCACCTGTTTCTTTCTCGCTTCCTCCTCAGCTGCTTGGTCATATGCCACTTACACCTTGTCCTGTGTCAGCTTGACAAACCAAAGGCTCGGATGTGCTCTGTGGATGGAGCAGAAATTGCAATCGAAAAGGGTGGGCTTTTAACTCTGGCAACCACAATCAGCCCACGGAGGGCTGATCTGAAGTCCTGATTGTCTGCTCTGGCAGAAAATCAGTACTCTTTCAAGAACCTGATGTTTGTTTCTGTGACCTCAAGTAGTGGTTATATTAAACATCATCGCTTTAAATTTTTATGCAGAGCCAAGAGTTTATGTAAGAGAATACTAAATATTCAAATATTGAGAAACATACACAGTAATGTGTCTTCCCGTTACATTTGTTACAAATGAGTTGTAGCAAAGCATATTTTATTTTCAAATTTAGCACTAATGCTACACCTACAACTGGGCTAAAAGGAAGTAGTTTGTGTGAATATGAGAAAAAAAAAACCTAGGACGGCTTCTTTCTCTATAACTCATTCCTGGCTCCCAGTCAGGGTTTGTACCCACTTCCCGCGGAGCCGTGCGGGGTCGGGCAGTGCCTCTGCCCACATCAAGCTGCCTGCCTCCGACCTGGGCTGGGAAGTGCCCAGAAGGAGCTGCAAGGGTCTGCTCTTTGCTGTCCCACACAAACGAGTGAGCACAAGGGGAGGACGAGTAGGAGACATTCAGGCAGGAGGTAAGCTCAAAACTTTGGCAACCTGATGAAGTTAGCTGTGCCCTTTTCAGGGATGGAGTCATTTACTTCCCTTCAGGAGCAAGAGGGAAGCAGAGAGTGAGTGGTGACTTACTGGGTTTCAATTAGGTCTCCTCTTAAAGACTCATAACCTTTGCACCTTCCTACATACAAGGTGCTGTCTCAAATCACACTCTAGCTCTAAGGAAACAAGAGAGGCACCCTTCTAAGGCAATCTTCTGAAAGCCTGACGTTAACAAAGATACTTCATTTTCTGTTTCCTGATGTCAGTTGTCATATCTGGTGAGGATAATTAACTGGGCATTGGCAATCTGGTAGTTGCCAAGTCTGCCTGAGGGGTAGACCCACAAAGAAAGTGTCTAACCTGCAGAACATTCACGATGGGACCTATCCAGTCTCTCTGCATTATGCCTGCATGGAGAAGCAATGCTGCATCTGGGCTTGCTGTGGGCTCACAAGCAGAGCAATACAGTTTCTGTAATCCCAGCCAGACTTCCAGGGAAGCTGTCCCAGGGCTGCTCTGGTCAACCGTGGCAGTTCTGGGTCTGCTGGGTGTAGAACCACCATTTCCTTCTCATCCTGGAAGTCCATTGAGAAGCCTCAGGTTTGATTTAGAGGTCTCAAGTGCCAGTTGAGGAAAGGGGAGGTTAGGTATTCAGTGTGGACTTACAAAAGACATATTCCATATGTTTTACCAGTCAAAAGTTGGAGGAAGATTTTTTTCCAACTTTTCCCGAAATATTCACCCTTTTGTTGGCCGAGAGCCTGGGAACTGGAGCCCCAAAGGGACATTACTATGAAGTCTGAAAATGCAGATTTGTCTTTGAAGTCGTAGTGTTTCTCAGGTTTGGTAGGATCTACCACATTTATAGAGAACTCAGCTTTGATGAAAAAAATAAAAGTGCCAGTTTGGAAAGCATTTGGGGATTTTTCAGCATGACAGATGCTACTGTGTAAGTGTAAGACTATTATCTCCTTATATATGTGGGTAGCTGTCTTATAAAAAGGTACTTTGACTTACCAAGTCACTGCAATAAAGTGGAATGTGCAGACACAATACTTGGCTGCCCCCACATGCATATTTCACCTTTATTAAATCTTATTACAACTAAAATCTTAACTATTCTTTTCTAGCACAAACACTCTGTGTGTGTAAGAATACATACGACAGCAAAGAAGCCTTTTAGCACATTATTAATCATCAAGACTAAGGATTAGTAAGAAACACATTTGCATTTTATCTCTAATTTTCCCTTTTTTTTTCCCTTGCAGGCACAGCTGTCTCAGGCTTTAAATGGTGTTTCAGATAAAGCAAAGGAAGCTAAAGAATTTTTGGTTCAGCTGAAAAATTTATTGCAGCAGATCCAGGTAACTGTAGAATATTAGCTGTTTTGATAATACAGTAATCAATAGAACTGAGTGAATAATTTATTTGATGACTTTGTTTCCTGTGCTATTCTCATCTTTCCTGGAATCATCTAACCTTTCTTGAATGGATTTGCCAGGCAAAATTATTCATCAAATAATGCCTGCAAGCCCCTCTTAGCTCCTAGATTGTTTGCTGTTTATTGCAAGAAGCTGATACTCAATACTGGACATCTGAGCTCTGTTGATTAGTGTTTGATTGAATCCATTGGTCATGCTTCTGGGCTCCTTCCTGGCTGCAATTGCTTCAACTGGGCATGTAAGATAAGTTCTCATTTTAGCACTTTCAAAACTTACTACTTGTTTTTCATCTTGCATTTTCTAAAAATGTGCTCGTTTCTGGAATAAATGCAGTCAACCTGTTTATTAGAGTATTCATAGGAAGTCAAAAAAAAAGAAGAAACAAATGCTGCTAAAACAATGTGGTCTTTTATTAAGCAGAAGATACTTTCATACCTATAATTGCCCAGCTTTAATAGTTAGAAAAGGGCTCATGGTGAGTGCAGTAATTGAGGGCACAAACCCAAAATGTAACAAGTCCCATTTTCAACCAAATTTAGACTTTTCAGTGCTGGAGGTCAGACGATCCTCAAGGTCCTTCTCATCCTGCAGAGCGTGGCTGGAAATGTGCTGCTGGAGTTTGAGCTGCACAGTGCCCATGATGGGTCACTTGTTACCTGCAGCTGCTGTGGTGTGTTTTTTGTGGAATATACATCATCTGCTCTATGATATACCCACTCTGCTGCTTGCTCATCTTCCATCAACAAGCAAGTCCTATTCCTGTTACTAACAGAAAGCCACAGCGGAAGTTAAAAAATCTGTATTCGGTTTAGAGTTTAATCAATCAAAATTCCACTTAACGCTCCAGATGATTAATTTTTACCTCAAATGCTGCCCAGGCTTTGAGGTAAGCTACCCACCCTCTCAGTCTTCTGCGGCCACATGGGGAAGGGAACAAACCAAGACTGGGAAACTAGTTTAAAACAAAGCACATCTAACTGAAAGAATCCAGTGCAGAGTCACCGACTGGCACCTGTCACATGCCAGGTTTTAGACACAGCATGAGGTTTTTCTCAGCTGACTACCTATTTCAAAGTTATGTAGCTCATCTACCATAGTCATTTGGGCTTCGTTTGTTGTCCAAAGAGAAGGACAGGCATGTCTGGGGAGTCATTTGTCCTATAGGTATGAAAAGCTATTTTAGGATGGAATAACTCATCCAAAACAGTAGTCTATCACCAATCTTTTCTTGAATCACCTAGCTCCATTAAAAATGTATTTTTCCCTCCTGAAACCTAAAGCTGGCCTATTATGACTATTTATGACTATGTTGTAAAATCCTTTAATGTGTTTCAATAAAATCACTGCCAAATTGCTCTGCATAAGGGAGCTGCAACAATTAGATCAAAAGACCAAGCCATTTCTTTGAGGCTGCTCATTGCTTAAAATGCTAGAGGAGAAGACAGAAGAGGAAATTGGATCCAGCAACCACCCGCTAACATTTGGGCACGTCTGGGCACAAAGCTCGGTCTCACCCTCGCACGCTGGGCCAGTCTCCAGCAGGAGTCTGAGCGGGGACATCAAATTTCAGCAAACTGAAACAGCAGGACTAATCAGCTGCACATGTATTCATAAGAAAAACCAGGCTAGGGCACAGCTCTGAGACCATCACCCACACCCTTTAACCCTTAATTAGCTCCCTGGCATGGTTTTCTCTCATGGCAAATTGTACTTTTCCCAGGTGATGCTCAAGCAGCATTTGATGATAGCACACACCTGGGAATATTCCTGGTAGGCAGATTTGGTACAGCTGTGCTGTTTGAGGGGAAGGGTTCAGATGGGTCATGAGCTGATCTGTGCCTTTTGGCATCTGGACCAGAAAAATGGTCCTTGGACTGTTATTTGGGGCGGAATAGATGTAGCTTTTGTGTGTAGATTTATATCCAGAACCATGCATCTCAGATCAGGTTATATCTAGTAGAAATCTTATGATGGTTGCCACATACACATACAGACATTTACCCCTCAGCAAAAATGTCGTTAAAATGTATGTTTACACAAAGGAGTGAGCAATATGTACGTTTTATTATCCTGTTTCAATGCACAGCAGACCAGGCAGCCATCTGCACTCTTTCTCTCCCCTCTGAGTTTGCCAGAGCTACCAGGAGCTGTGCTTTTATCTTGCTTGGGTCAGTTTGCAAATTCATAATCTCCTTTTCTTTTCCCTGCCTTGCAGATCTCTTGTTTCGCCCCTCTTTTTTCCTTCCCTTCTCTTTTCTGAGGTCACTTTTAAATCTCTTGGTCTCTTCTTTTCAGAAGCTGCCTGTTCCTCATTGCCCCTGTTGCTTCCTTGCTCCTCCTTGCCGCTGTCATTATCTGATTTTTCACGTTTTCCCATCTGCTGTAGCAATTCCATCCTTTCTCACTTGAAAGAGGCATATCGCCAAACACCCCGTTTGATGCGTGAACAGAAAACGAGGAGAGAAATGAAGCACTACAGCCATCGACTGATTCAGGCTTCGTACACAAACCAGTGCTTCAGGAGTAGCTGGATGGAAATGGGCTTAAGGGGGAGTCTGGTGTGAGATAAGCCGGGGTGTGAGATAAGCCGAGGAGGGAGAGACGCAAACAGGAAGAGTCTGAGTCAAACCTGTGAACAGTAACTGAGCTGTCTGGTGTCTCTCCACACACCCCTCTTGCTGGTGGGTCTAGTACTGAGGCGGGGGCCCCTCAGGGAAGGGTTATCCTGCATCATCCCTCAGCTGGAGAATGGGATGCATGGATCACATTGGGAGAAGGAATTCCAGTGCTGAACATTTTGCTCTCAAAAGAATGAAGACAAAGCAACGAACAGAAAAGAAGAGAAAAGCATCACCAGAAAGAGCTAAGAGATAGTAAGGAGTTAGAGGTGTGTGATGGCTTACCACAGAGCTCCTTCAGCACATCTTTAAAATCTTCTCACATTTAATGATTTTGGTTTTGTTTTCTTTTTTTTTTCTTTTTTTTTTTTTGATTTGGGAGGAAAGCTGCTAGGACAACTGAATGTCGCCTGGAAAGAGAAGTCTGAACACTTTCTCCTTCTTCAAGTGCCATGAGCAGAGGAAATGAGGGAGAACATCCCTTTGAACGGGTGCTACAGCATCAGTTCCATGGCCAGAAAAAGCCATCCCCAAGAGGAGGGGCAGCTCAGGACCTTGTAGTACCATCTACTCAGATTTCTACATCTCCAGTGGAACGCTGTGGTAGCAGGGTTTATTCCCCATTGATAGGACAGGGGTTTATGATACCCAGGCCCAGTGCAAGGCTCTGTGGGGACAGGTGTTTTATACCTCACATGCTGGCCTCTGCCTAGCAGAGACTTTTTCCACAATGTGAATAAAAACCTGCCATGTTCACTTATGTTTCTTTAAAGCTAATCAAAGACATGTCTCCACTGTCAAGCATTTGATATTTTTAAAACTACTTGAAGCAATAAACATCTCAGGGCTTTGTACCCGATTCATTTCCTTGTAATAAACCTGTAGACCAGTTCCTCGTCCATAATTCTCTTCTACTTGTCATATTATAGAGTCAGTGATTTCAAAGTTGTTACAGTGGGATAATTAGAAGAGCGGGGACAGAACTATCTTATGTGTATCTATGCACTGTGTATGCTAGGTTTAGATTTTACATTATGTTGTACTGCATCTGTTACCTGGAAAGTGCCAGTATATCAGGGTTTTAAATAAGCCCATTTTGTGGCATAGCATGTTACTATTTTGTTTCATAGCATGCATCTTTTTACTGGTACAGCTATAATGAAATCAGAAAGGCAACAGAGATACTGAAGTCTTGAAAGGAAATCTTTTCTGAATGGAAAACCAGGTAAGAATGAACAATAGCTTAAGGTGTGAAATATGCTTTCTTTGATGAGTATGACTCTCACCTTCTTTTAGGAGAATGGGTTGGATTATGAAGCCTGTCTTGTCGCTCAGTGTGATGCCTTGGTTGATGCGTTAACGCGACAAAAGGCAAAACTGCTCACAAAGGTGACCAAAGAACGTGAGCACAAGCTGAAGGTGAGCACAACTTTCGTCAGCTGGGTACACTGCCAATACCTCATCTTACTGTGCATTTTGTTAAGTCCCCAGCCCTTTACACTGTGAACATTCCTAATGACCAAATCCTAAAGTCCATCAGCAATTTGGCGGAACTGTGCTTATACACTTAAAATTAGGCATATATTTCAGCAGTTCATTGAATCCAGCCATCAATCTTTATTTATCTGAGGGTTTTGGGCTGTCTTTGGAGGTGCCTGTCAGTGAAACCTGTGTGGTTTGGATTCTGGGACCTTTCAAATGCAAGAAAGCCCTTCTGCCAAAGTAAAATGTTGGGATTTTGTTGTCTCTTCAAACCTTTGAAATTCAGGCAACCACCCTCAGAAATTCATGTGCTTACTCAAAAGATATTAAAGAAATGCAGTAAAGGGGTGTGGGAGAGCAAAGCTATAAATGGTTGAACAAGGTGGCAGTCAAGAAATGTTTAAATAGACACATTTCTTGAAACATCAAACTGCTTATGTGATTTTGAGGTATTATAGTGCCAGTAACATTAATAGTATCTAAGACAGAAGGAAAAATTGAAGTGCAAAATCTAACATGACAAACATTGAATAAAGTCTACCTGAGATCAGCAATTTAAAAAAATCTCATGCTCAACAAGAACCAACACTTAAGACATACTGCTAACAGCACAGCTAGTCCTGTGGTTTATTCCCGTTAGCCTGTTGCACCTCAGGAGTTGTGCTGTCAAACACATTGCTATTAGGCCTAATCTACAGCCATGTGAGAGCAGAATTGCGTCCAAAATCTGGGAAAATTGAGATGCATCTTTTTTATTTCTTAATCCCAGCAATGTGTTCATAAGCAGAAAAGGCTCAGTGGTGAACTGTGAAAGGAATGGTAGAGTATAATCTGCAAGAAACCACTCCTGCAGTTATCCTCTATAATATTTGTCTTTTAAGTGAAGGGTTCTTTAAAAGCTCAGATTGTAGTGAAAGTGTGATTGCAAATGTGAATACTGCAAATGCAGAAACATGTTCTGTGCTCTTTCTGCCCCAAGCAAGCCTGATCTTTGAGCAATTAATCTGTTCTGAAAATTGAGATTCTCTGCGCACAACATTTTGCCAAGCTAATTATCAGTATTTACAATACAGAGCAAGTGAGTGTAGCTGATGGAGATATGGCAATGGCCATATGGCAGCTAAATTAAGCATAGCTTCAGCACACTCTTCCATTTGTTGTCTCTTCTGAAATAATCTTATACAATAAGATTATATATTCACTGTAAACTGAGGCAGTCATCAGAACTGCTTGTTTTCCAGGTTGTTTGGGACCAGATAAATCACTGTACACTGAAGCTACGCCAGTCCACGGGGCTTATGGAGTACTGCTTAGAAGTTATCAAAGAAAATGATCCCTCTGGGTTTTTACAGGTATTTTTCTTTCTGATGTTCTGGGGGAAAAAGGAAAGAAAATATGTTAAAGTTAAATCTAAAAATGGATGGCTTTGCTAATTAGCCTCTATTACCTCCGAGGAAGGTTCACCTGAACTCCTGTTAGTACACTCTAAAAGCTCTGATAGCCCAGTGGCTGCATGAACGTCCCAGTGAAGGGATGGCTTTGAACAGCCGCTCTCCAACAGAGGTGTGGAGTTAGTGCTCACACCACCTCCCTGAGGGCTGACGTCTTTCCTCTTGCCAGTCCTTCCTTCTGAGCTGAAAGAGAGATGCTATGCAGTCAACGATAACTTCCTCCAGAGTATTATTTTATTCTCACCCGAGGAACTCAGTACAGGGCCTCACAGAGCTCTCTGATCAGTTTGGAAAGGTCTATGCATGGCTCAGCAGAGTAGTAATTCTCCCCTTTTTGCTTCTGCCCTTTGCATTACTCTTTCTGAGACTCCTTTCAGCATCTCCCCTGTGAGGAAATCCATCCTTAAGGGCTTGTGTGTAACTGTGCTTCACTGAGGTTGTTGCACCTTATAGGGCTACAAGATGTGTCTGGTAGCAGGAGGATCCAGGTACCCTCTTTGTAAAATACGGCCTTAATTCGCAGGATATTGTTTCTTAAGTGAAAGCAGTAAAAGTGTCTATTGATGAGATAAAACCCAAGTTTTCTTAGCCAATTAATTATTTTGCCTAATTAATTCTATTACTTTATTAATTATTTTATTTTTCCCTATTAGCTATGTTGCCTTATTAATTGCCTAAGAGGAAAGGCACATCAAACAAAATGATTTGCACGTGGCTGTGAGCCGAACAGAGCACGCTGCACACATAAATGCATGAGTGTCAGAGGTCTGTCACAGCATCCCTAAAAAACAGGATGAGAATTAGTCAACTTAAACCTATTAGCACTCCAGATTGATTGTTATTGTCACGTCTGGTCTCAAGCAAGAGCTGGGAGTGTGTGGTGTATATTAATCTGAAGACTACACAGATTTTAGCAGGCTGTCGGTTGAGAACTGCAGGACAAATGAAACCTTTGTCTTATCTACATGCTAGCTAGATACATACTTTGTTTTTGTTTCAGCTTACTTTTCCTATAACCTTTGTGGCTTCATTCTTTGCAGTTGCCCTTTATTAAAAAAAAATTTGTTTTTACCTTTTCCTGGTTTATCTAATGATGCTTTCAAGGCAACCAACAAACACTGAGGCACTGCACTACTTAGAGCAACTGCTCCTGCAGCCAGGACATTGAAACACAGCCAAGGGATCCAGCATCCCAGTAAGTGACTCCAAGGCTGTAGAAAGGCTATGAAGGGCTGCTCCACTTACTGTGCAGACTGATTAGGAGCTGTTGAAGCAGGACCTCAGACAAGAGTGTCTTCCAGTAACAGTAATGAGGAAAAGTGTCTGAACTCCTGCAATTAACTAAAACCCTCTCTGACCTATCCAGAAGAAAATCCTGCTCCCTGTAACCTACAGGAAGCTCACTGGGAGGGACTCCAGATATCCAAATGGCAGCTTCTCTGAACTCAAGACAGTTGAGTTCATTGATTTTCACAGGGTCAGGATTTCACTTGAGGAGTTCATTGCGGTCATCTTAGTCTGACTTTTGGCCTAATTGTCTGTGGGCTGAGCTAGAGCAAAGCTTCAGAATGAAATTAAGTTTTGATGTAATGATAGAAAATCCATCATACTCTTCAAAAATATGACAACTTAGCACCCTCACTGTGAGAAATATGCACCATTCTTCTCATTTGATTTTTTTTTTCCTTTCAGCTTTGATCTGTTGAGTCATCTCTGCTGAATGGAGAGACCCTCTAACATTTGAGCCTCTCTTTGTATGACTGCTTTTTAAACAGAAGAGCAAAACTAGGCTGTGCAGATCAGAGAACAGGGTACAGAAGTGTATGTGGCATTCAGTGGCGTAATACACAACATAATCTTAACAGGCTTTATAAATGCGATTTTTACTTTCCTACCCTAAGATGAGATTTGTATTGAAAAGATGAGATGAAAGGATGCAACGTAAAAGGACCTCACTCCAAAACAACCAGATCCCGTCTCAGCTGTTGCACTGCCGTATTCCTGCTTCCCTTTTGCTGTATCTCACAGGCGTTCTCTCACTTTTGATGTGTGCACCTGCCAAATAATTGTAAGCCTGATACTCTCTTTCAGATTTCGGATGCTTTAATCAAGCGTGTTCAGGTGTCTCAGGAACAGTGGGTGAAAGGAGCCTTGGAGCCAAAAGTGTCTGCAGAGTTTGACTTGACTCTGGATAGCGAACCTTTACTGCAGTCGATTCACCAGCTGGATTTTATTCAGATGAAATGTAGGGGTGAGCTTTTATGATTTTTTTTTATTTCTCTTATTCGTACATGTGTTGAAACAGTGCTGGGAGGGACAGGGGCACACAGGGAAAGAGGAATGACTTGAAATTGCTGGATAGTTTGAAAAGGTTTTCAAGCAAATTCAGATTGTCGGGTGTTTCCTAAAAGGGTGTGCTCACCTCACGTGCAGTGACCTGGACACACTCAGACAGAGATACCAGGTGCAGCTGAGTATTTGAAAACATAAATTCTTCAGAGTAGGGCTATCTGTCAGCTTTGAAGATTAAAAAGACATTAGCTGCTTGAAACTTTATGCCATTTTACAGCATTCCTAGATTTAACAGGGTTAATTCTAAATATTAATTGCCCCTATCTTGTCAGGAACAGCTGAAGTAGTAAATAAATATTCACACATACATACACGTATACTTGAGTAGGAAAAAAACACCTTTGTTTTATATCTGGACTATGCTGCTAACAGTACCCAGCTTAAAAAAAATATGAGACAGAGATTCTTAAGGGGAAAATACCTCCATGGCTATACCTTTCCTTGATTCTAGGTGTCTGAACGATTCTGAGGGACACACTAAAGGGAAAGGAGGTTAAAAAATATTTTAAAGTGGAAGCTGAGGAACAGCAGATGCCATTGGCAAAAAAAAAAAATTAATGTCATGCACTTGTAATGAGCTTGGTTTGCATGGAGCAGGATGAGAACTGCATCAGAATTAGATAGATCCACAGACCAGCTAGATTTGAAGGACGTTGTGGTCCCTGGGAATGATGCCATTAGCTTCCATCCGTGGTTATTCAAGCCTTAATTATTCATTTGGGTGACAGGGTAGGGGCTGCCAGAAGTCAATGAATAAGTTAAGGATAATTGTGTCGTGACGCCGGATGGGCTTTTTTTTTGACTCCAAGCAAGTATAAAGATTTCTGTTCAGTTTATGTGTCCTCTCTGGGTATAATTCTGAACCTAAGAGACCCAAGGTAAAGTAATTAGGGTGGATAATCTGGCAGATAAATAATTGGAGAAACAATGGATAAACAGCTAAAGGCCAAAGTCTGCTCAACAAGAATGATTTGCATCTTGGCATAAACTGGCTGTGTTAAGGTTGCTCATATAACACCTGTGAATGCTCCTTTGAAATATTAACAGCCAGGAAAGTGGACTCAAGAGAGAGAATATCACTGATAAAACTTCTCTGAACACTGCCTGCACTTGTCTTTTAAAATCAGTTTTTATTTAATGCTGCCATATTTACTGTTAAATATATTTAATACTAATCTCCCATCACTCTTCTTCCTAAACATATAAAGAATTTAGTTAAACTATCCACTTAGATAATTAACCACAGGTCACTTGAGGTGAGAGCAGCTTAGGTATTTGGCTTTTGGACATTTGTCTGGCTTTAAGCTTGAAGACTTAGAGACTTTAATTGAGCCAGATTCACTGGAGCTTTATGAAAGATAATGCTGTCTGTTGGTGCTCTCATTTATCATACGATCACAGTGAAGCTCTGGTAATGAGCTAGACGTGGTCTGAGGAGCAGAGAAGAGGATGGGACTGCTTCTGCCCAAACCTGCACAGCTTATGAACACCTTTGGGCTTTGCTCCTCACTTGCATCTTAATAGTTAGACCTCAGGAAGGGCTTTTGCTTGCACTATCTTGGTCTTGACCAGGGAGTACCAGCTGCATGTCCCATCAGGTTTGTCAGCACAACTGGCATGACCATGCACATGCCATGTAAAAAATAGTGGAAATGCCATTTATCCTGGCCACCATTCCTTCATAAGGGACTGCATTATTCCTCCTCACACCTCTGTGTGCACAAGCAATACAGGCACTGACTGGACCCAAGCTAACATTCATAAGTGTTGAGGATTTTTTAGTATATAGAAGTGTGTTTATATTTTTCAGTTTATGACTGCAAATCTATTTGCATTTGAACTGCTCAGTCTCACATTTTGGCATTTTTTTTCTGAAATTTACTTTCGTGACCACAACCAGTTTTGCATTATCTTCTCACACACAGTGGTCTTGCATCTAGACACACAGGTACCACAGAGTAAGCAACTCAGCATTTCAGCAACAAGCACCCAGACTTACTGGGAACATCCCTTTGCTGACTGTGAGGAGCAGCTGGTGTTGCAGGGCGATGTTTTGTTATTTATCATAACAGGAGTTACATATTTCTGAGGCTCCAACTTCACAGAGAAAAATCTATGTGTCTCTTCACATCTGCTCCTTTTTTCCAGTCCTACCTACCCCAGTGCACCAAGAAGTCATCAGTCTTCGACAAATGTTGGTGTTGAGGAGAGTGTTACTAAGTCACTATCTGACAAGAGTCGGTGCATTAAAGACATCAGAGATGATCTGTAAAGCAAGTTTGGGGAAAACTAGGAGAATAGGGCCAAGGTAGCTTTTCCAACAGCAAGTTGTTTTGTTCCAAAGGCTTTGCAGCGTAAGTTCTGTACTATTGTTATCAATGTAAGTGCATGACTGAATTTCTATTTTTTTTTCAAACTCTGGCCTCATTCAACCTCAGTGAGCTTGCAAGGGTCATTTAGAGTGAAAGCATGCTTGTAAGTAAACATCGATTCACTGTGTTAGACAGAGAATGAAAATGAGAACAAATCACATTACATTTGCTTTGATGACTTGTTCATGTACCTTACTTGTGGACTCTCTATAAGCCCGTATCTAAAGCTAATCTCAATAAATAAAGGTCAGTGTGTGTTTTTTTCCTTTTTACAGACAGAAAAAGCAATTTGGTAACAAAGTAAATGTGCAGAAATGCTATAATTGCAGAGGCAATGCTTAAATAGTCATGTTGACCAAAGAGTCTCACTGATAGACCTTTGGCAAGAGTCCCACTCTCCCCAGGCTAGCTGCCCTGCTGAGGCACACACACAGCTCTAGTAATCGCTGGCATTTTGAGCTTTCTATCTATTGCTTTTTCTGAGTGCCTTGGCACAAAATTCCTGTCCTCTTTGATGACTGGCTGAATGTGTGTATCACATTTCCTCAGTCTGAGCTATGGGCACAGACAAATATGTGTTCCAGGTTTGCTTTGTTCAAACAGCTGGAACTGTCATACAATCTTGGGTATACAAACAGAGAAAAGGTACAAAATGGGCAAAAATCCCAGCAACTTTCTACTTTTCTGTACCACATCTGAATACTCACTCATATGCCCCTTCTTTTCAGCAGAGACTCCTTCCCTCTTCTGCAAACCAGTCCATGAAGATTCCCCAGCCACATCTCCTGCCAAAATCTTCTCTGCTTCTCTGGCCATGAGCTGCACAGCCCTGACAATGAAAGAGTAACTCTTTCATCGTAGGCTTTATTCCTGGTTCTGTCTGGTCTGCGTCATGGACCCAGGTCTTTTCCTGTGGTCATTCCTTCTCTCTCTATAACACTGTAGGGCACTTGCAACTGCAACTATTACGGGGCTGTACTGCAGTTTTGGAGGAGGTCAAGGTATTCATGTTTCCAAGGGTCCTGTTCTTTTACTGTATTTAGTTCTTTAGAAATTAATCTGGAATGGTGGAGGGCATCACTGCACAATTTACTTGTCAAGAGGACAAGTAACAGACAACATCTTAGAGCAGCCCTGCTCTGAGATCGGCTGTGAGGTGCATTAAGCAATGTGTTTTTGAAACTGCTGAGTTGACAAGAGACATCAGTATCGTATTTTTTAGCTAAGTGTGACCTGCATGAAGCACTTTTAAAATAGCAGGACATCATTCAGCCTCATTAATAGGTCTTGCTCTGCCAATGCAGTATCATTTCTCCCTTTATATTTTTACTCTTTTTCTTCAAAAACTCCCTAGAGGACTTTAAGTTGAACAAGAAGTGGGACAGCACAGTAATTTAATATCTGAGTCTTCTTTTTTTCCTGACAGTTAGCCTATATTTTTCTTCTCTTAGTCCTGTCCCATTGCTCTTCGCTATGAAGTATATTCCAGTGTCCCGATTATTCAACTCGCTTCCCGCTTTCCTATGACTTTTACGAGCGTTCACCTTTTCTCCTCCCAGAGGGAATCTGGGACCAAGGCAAATCTCTGCCCATCCACACCCAGGGGAGGAGGCAGGAGGACAGGAGCAGCGAGCGGCATCCAGCAAAGCTGCACAGCTCCTTGGTGGGAGCATCTTACCCCTCCCTCAGCTCCTGTAGGTTGTGCAGTTCAGGACACAGGCTGGCCCAAAGGGAGTAGGAGGCTGATAAGGATTTAATCACAAAAACTTAAATGTCAAGTGATAAAGAAGCCCAGGCCCTTCCCCGTAGTACCTGTGACTCTCACACGTAGGGCCAAATTTCATGCTACCCCTGGGAAGTGGGAACAACAGCACTTTACCATAGGAAAACAAATTCTAATCCTAGTCAGCTTTCCTGTTTCCATGATCAAAAGGGACCTGTAAAACACTTACCCTCCCCTAAAAGTTGTGTTCCTTTTTTTCAGCATTGTGCACTACTTGAACAGTCCCTGAAATCCACCTGTCAGTCTTCCTAGGAGATTTTTGCAGGGGCTTGGAGAGCTTAGTGGTTTATTCAGAGGTGAGGGGGTGTTGTCTATTTTGCACTTCATAAACTTCAGGAATTAGATTTTCATCCAGTTTTGCCAGGGGGAGTCTTATAAGTGGGGAAGAGCCAGTGAATGCCTCCTGAGAGGGTTAACTGGTTGGCTAAAGCAGCAGGAGTATGGATGGCTAATACAGCAGTATCTTCTCCCAAGCTCATAAATCACTGGAAATACACAGAGTAACAAACACAAACAAACCCCCAGATTTAAAATGGTTCATTTTAAAAATTCCATTACCTCTGAATTCCTCATTGTCAGGTTTTGGACTCTTGTAATGTCACATTTCTGTTACTTCTTCAGACACAGCATCTCCTAGAGAAAAATCTGAACTTTCCATGTGAAAAAACAAGCAGGTCTTTATTTATGACATCCTCTGAATCATCATGAAATATCAAGGAATAGGAACAAGGCTTTTTTTCCCCTTCTTTTCACAGAATAACCTTCAAGAGCTAATTTATAAAGCTCTTTTGTTTCAGACCACAGTCATTCTTCTGGGCTACCAACCCTCCGTGTTCACTGTGGTGATGGATAGTGCCAGCAGAAAGCCACAGTAGCTTCTGCACTGTTTATCACAAGTGTGATGTTGGCTTTACTGTCGCTTCCAAAGCCGGGGTGAAGCTTTAGCCCTGTCAGACAGTAGCATCCACTTTCCCACAGGCTGCTTGGTACACAAAATGTGAACAGTCCTCTTTTATCCAGAGAGGTAAAATAGGACGAAAGGAACAGCTCGAGGGCTTAGCTCTCACGCAGACAGAGGGAGGAAAATAAACTAGAGGCTCAAAGCAGAGTCGATAAAAGAAGAGCAAACTGACATTGTTAAGATCTAAGTCAATGAATGCTCAGAGCACTCAGCTCCTTGTATGACACGGCCGAGCTCTGCAGAAATGATCCTGAACGGTGAAATTCAGCCTTGGGCAGAAGATCAGGCAGGGTCTATGCATCACTTACATCCCACTTAACCTGTGCAATTTCAGCGGTGCATAAGATGTGTGCCTGAGCTATCCAGAAGACCGAATTTTCACTTTACAGTTTCCAGTAAAGAGTGAACATTGAGAGTTTAGTTGTGTTTAGCAGAGACCTCTTTTCCCACAAAAGCATAGCTGCATGTTTTACTCTATTTATTTTTATTTTTAAGTTGCTGTTCTGGTCAACAGTCTCTTGGTGTTTCTCCTGAGTGAGTCACTAAAAAGACATGTTGGTAGATAACTTCTCTACCTGTAATTTCCAAGAGGAGAATGCACAAGCAATTTCCTGTGGTGTAGAAGTTCCTTTTGCTGCCTGAATCAAGGGTTTTACATAAAATTTGCAAGTGGAACAATTGTCTTCAACAGGGTTTTTTTGAGTATGGCTGTCATAGAGATAATATATCCAAGGCAGTTTTGATGAAAATATGGGGGTGGGGTAGTGTTAGATAATTTTTTTTTAAAAAAAAACAAACTATTGTGAAGAATTGTTTTCCTGCTGTTGGTGGAGTTCAGGCTCTGTCTCTCCACTGTGCCAAGAGGAGTGGCTGCTCTGCTGGTTAATAACCCACTTCTTCCTTACTGAGCTGGGCTGCCTGGCAGCACTGCATCTCCTGTGTTGCCTCATGATCTGAGACACCCCCTGCCACTGCTGCACCCTCTCTTCTTTTGGGGACAGGGGGGGCAAAATGCTCTAGCATGATCAGCCAGTGACCCTCGGGAAGGAAACCAGACGTGAGGTCCCCAGACTGTAGCTCCTATGAGGCACCAGAAGCATGTCCAGATATGTTTCTGTTTACATATTTCAGCCAAATGATTTGCCTAACTGAGTAACGATATTTTGTTATATCATTTTTACTGCCTTTTGTTCCGAGGAAGGGGACGGACCCTCTTCCTAACGAATATGGACTCCCCTGAGAGGGGAGGGAGGTGGCTGTTCGTCACACTGCCCGCGGCACAGACTGATGGGGTAGGGCAGAGTTACACTAATCTGTACCCAGTTCCTGTTACAGTGCCACCCGTCCCATTACTGCAGCTGGAGAAGTGTTGCACCAGAAACAACAGTGTGACATTGGCCTGGAGGATGCCACCTTTGAGCCACAACCCAGTGGAGGGTTATATCTTGGAACTTGATGATGGAGATGGTGGCCAATTCCGAGTGAGAATTTAATTCAGCATTTATTTGTGTTTCTTTGTATATGAGTTTTCCTCAGGATATGGATTTGTGTCTGTCTGAGGGTGGGGAGAGGGGGTAGGGAAGATACGGGTTGTCAAAACATCCCTGCTTCCATCATGTGGATGTAGAAAGCCCCAGGTGCAGATGCTGCTTATTGGAAGGATCCCCAGCGTGGGTTGGAAGTTTGGTTGAGATTATTCTCGAAGTTCTGATAAAGAGAGACTTGCTGAGGTGGAAGGTGGAGTTTCAAGTCACTACTACATCTATGATGTGGTCCCCCTGGAGAGTACCAGGGCAGAAAATCCCATACTAGCCCCACTCTCATCTATCCATGGCACCCTGTTTCAACAGCTGAGATTCTTGGTCCAGAAATGCAATGCAATTTTTTCTGGTTTTCTGAGTAAAAATGGGATCCTGCATAAAAATATGGGATTTCTAAATCTTTTCTCTGAGAGTGGATGAGATCAGGCTGATGAAAGCTTTCTGTAGACACTCTGCAATGGGGTTGGTAAGTATGGGAAGGCATCCTGAGTGCTGTCCTTCCAGACCTTCAGGGTGATGCCACAACTGCTTTCTCCTGCCTGCAAGTGCAGGATACTTCTAGGCTCCTTTCCCCTCCCACCATATCCTGATAAACAAACTACAGAATTAATTCAATCAGCATTCTGCCAGCTACATCCTGCTGGAAGCTGTGGCCCCTTCTCCTCAGGCAGGCTTCATGCTCCTGTTGCTCCAGGACCAGGCTGACCCAATGCATTGCCTAAGGGCTAGTGCCTCAAAAGTATCTGGAGACCATTGTGGAGTACAGCTGCTCTCTTCACAAATGGCAAATTTTGCCAAAACCACATGATGGCATTTCTTTGGGAGCTGCAAACTGGCTTCCCACTGGAAACGTAAAGGTTTCTCAAGCTGAAAATGGTTTGGCACGGGTCCACCTAAGGAACTGCTTCCCTGTGCCAAACTGCAACGCCCATAGCCAGCAAAGACACCTGATTTGGATGCCTCTCATTAGAAGATACAGCAATATTGGCAGGGCATTTTGAAGGGGGCACTATGTTTCTGGAAGGTCTCCTCAGTTCCTTGGTCCAATTATCATTTCATATGGGTTTGAAGAGGCTGGTCTCCACTACTGGAAGTGGGAAAATGTACCTTTGTGAACAGCTGCTGGAAGCTGCTGCTACAGTTAATATTAGTAGGTAAGAGTGTTATTGGTGTGTGATGAATGAAAAGTTAGGATCAAAGTGTTATGAATTTCACTGTCTTGGGTAAAGCTTGTCAAATGTTATTCACGTCTAAGTACGTACTTGTGAATAAACTCGATTTCAGGCTGGTGTGTAGCCATGCCCATTTGTATGGGGGGGTTTGTAACTGGCAAAGGTTTTAGCATTGCCAGCACTGTCATGTCAAGATTTTGGATTGACAAAGACACAAAACCATCTCAGTTCTTAAAAATCTAGGTTGACAACTTCTCAGGGTAACACTGCTTGCCGTGTTAGAAAAACCCTCGGTTTTACCCATTGAAAGATTAACTGCAGGCTTCTCAGCAGTGCTATTTCAATAAGAGTTTGCTGACCCTTTTAATGACAGCTTACATATCTGAAAGCAGCGACACTGACTGCACTTTGTCAGTATTCAATGGGTGCATTTAAAGAATGCTTTTTGTCTCCCGTCATAGCAGAGACCATCACTCTGAAGAAACACAAGCAGTGAACAGTGGTAAAAATATGAAACAGATTAGAAAATGTGAGAGCTGTCCTACAAATACAACTTTTTGCACATACAGCATATGTTATAACATGGAGATAAATTAAGCTATTCTACTAAAACTCTTCTTTCTCTCCACGAAAGATCTTCAGCCAACTCAGGACACAATAAATTTTGTTCTTTTGTAGCAGCCACCATGGTAGCTAAGTGGAAAAACACACAGCCTGCTGTAAACTTCAGTAATCTCTTTCTTATTCATCACATACTTAATTCACTTTGGGTTCATGTCAAAGATCCTTAATCAGCAGGACTACTCTTAGGCATATACTTAAGTGTCTTAACTGAACCGGGGCCTGAGTGGTCTGCTTTGTCACCGCCTTAGTCTCTTTAGGCCCTTTGCTACCATAAATCTATGGATTTCACAGAATCAGAGAAATAAGAGGTGGAAAGGAACTGTGGCTTTCAACCCACTGCCAGGACAGGATTTTTTCCTTTTCGATCATTTTCAGTTGCTTTGTTCAGTTTTTCAACAAACATGAAGTTTCTAGGCTTCTTTCAGTTCATCATAGATTCTATAATCTGACTAATCCTCTTAATTAGTCTGCCTATATGCTCCTCCTCCTGAAATATTTCACATGAAACAAGTGCTCGCTGTTTAATAAATCTTTGCAGACTTTTATGATGTCTCTGTTGTCTAGTTGCTCTTTCAGCATGAGATGTGTGTGATCCTACTCTTTAGGACATCAATTTCTTCTGGCTCTGTGTTTGCAGGTTTCAAAATTATATTTTTACACAGGCACGAGACAACTCTTCCAACAGAATAAAACTGTGCTTACTTGAGGTTTTTTTATTCCACACACCCCCTTTTTTTGGTCCTATGTAAATATAAGAAAGGTCACACTGGGTCAGACCTTTGTTGCTGTACCCTTCCAGCCTCATCTTCACCTTAGTGTCTCCACTGCTAACCATCCTTAATGTCTCCTCTGCTGTGGTTGTCTGTGTTATAACAGCATAACTTCTACATCCTGGGAAGCAATGAGAAGCTGTTCACTTGTAGCTTATATTTAGAAGTCTTAACGTGTGATCACAAGGCACAAAGAAACAGTTAAACTATGTCCCTGTTTCTGCTTCTCTTTTTTTTGGAATGTTTAGGAAGTATATGTTGGCAAGGAGACTCTCTGCACCATCGATGGCCTTCACTTCAACAGTACCTATAATGCAAGAGTCAAAGCTTTCAATTCATCAGGAGTTGGTCCTTACAGCAAGACAGTCATTTTACAGACGTCGGATGGTGAGTTGGGTTTTTGCCAGTTTCTAAGTGAAAAGCTGCAGGTCTTAGTGGCAGGACACTCATATCTGTTTATACCCACTAATCCGTGGCACTTAGTGGCATGGAGATTTTGGATCATCTGAGAGGAGAGACCAGGAACTGAGCACGCACAGGGACTGAGCTCTCCTCCTAGCACTTTTGGGGATTTTCCATTATCAGTAACACTTTAGGTTTCAAATCATGCAATTTTATTTGGGTGTAGAAGTCTGGGATTTAACTAAGATTCTTGTTTGCTTTACCATACAGAAGCAGTTATGCAACACACAAGATATTTTTGTGCCACTTCTCCATACATCTTTGGAATTTGCCTTTTTCTTCACTACTTTCTCCTTCAATTTCACAGCAAGATTTGATAATACAGAGATGGGAATTCATGCTTGTTCCCCTGTAATTACACTTGACATTCATACGGGCATTACAAGAAGTTCATCTTCATTAATGATATTGTAATGAATTGAGAAGTGCATGCTATTATCACTTCCACTTTTATGCTGTGTTGCCAAAATAGGCCAGTATGAAATATTTATACTTTAAGAGCTTTTTCTGGTTTGGGTTGTTCTTTTTTTTTCCTTTTTTTTCCCCTCTTTGATAAACCAGTGAAGTCAGTCCTAACCAGCACAGACACAGTGGAACTCAATTTCTATTAAATGTGATCCTGAACCAATTCACCTGTGTGAGCAGTTCCCATATCATGGAGAGGCCATTGTCGCCTCAATTGACTTCCTTGTGACTGTGTGAGAGCAGAAAGTCACTGCCCTCAGCAGCTTACGTTCAGAGGAACAAGCACAGATAATATAATGCACTTCTGAGCTGAAAAACAGAGGGGTACTGGAGCAAAGTAATCTTCTGGAGCTGCCTACAGGAACAAGGAAAGATTGTCTTTATCACCTGAAAGTAGTGGAGTCTTTAGGAAGGCAGAATCTCATTCTCCTAATTGAAGTAAGGCAGGTGACACTTGAAGGCAGCCCGTTCTGCCATAATCCTGCCTTTCCTTTTCCCCTTCCACAGTGGCGTGGTTCACCTTCGACCCCTCCTCAGCTCACAGAGACATAGTGCTGTCGAATGACAACCAGACGGCCACCTGCAACAGCTATGATGACCGGGTTGTGCTTGGCACAGCAGCCTTCTCCAAGGGCGTGCATTACTGGGAACTGCACGTGGACCGGTATGACAACCATCCGGATCCAGCCTTTGGCATTGCCAGGATTAACGTCGTGAAGGACATGATGCTGGGCAAGGACGACAAGGCGTGGGCCATGTACGTTGACAACAACCGCAGCTGGTTCATGCACTGCAATTCTCACACCAATCGGTAAGTGCCTCCCGCGTGTTTTTCTCATTACTGATCCTTTTCTCTCCTTTGCATCAGAGGAAGGGGTCTCAGTAAGTAATCTAGTCCACCTCCCTGCTAAATGTGGTTATTTTGTTCCTTTTTAAAAATCATTATTTACATTGATTGCACCTTAGCAATCTGTGTTGGTGTTTGTTATCCTCACCATTAGCATTTTTTTCCTGAGATCTAGCTTAAAAAAAATCCCCTGCTGTGAGTTAAGCTCATGACTGCATGGCCCACCCATGGCATTGGCAGACAGGAGTGCAGTCCACTGGGATGCAGCATTTCTCTCTCATTGCTGCAGAAGTGCAGGGAGAAAGGTGGCTGGTTCTCTTCCTTAGGAGGAATTTTGGCTGCAGGACTGCACAATAATTAGGCAAAGCACTGGTGATTGCCTGTTCAAAATGCAGATGTTTATTAACACAGTCCTGAAAGCTGATTAAAGTTATGCTGTAGGTCATACCTATGGAGATCTGGACACAAGATCTGGTTGGCACTGAGGGCTAAGTGACAGCTTCCATCCAACTGAGCCATTGCACCGAATGGCTTTGAACAGCATCTCACCCGTTACAACCAATTCACACAAAGGAGGATTTCAGAATGCCCCTGAGCCATCGTTACCAAACCCCTATTTCTCCCACCACTTAGAGGTTCTGTGTGCTCTGAGCAACAGAGCGATGGGGAGACATCTTCTAACTGAAGCTGCCTCCAGGGCCAAATCACACAGAGACAACGTGTATCAGCTTAGATGCATGATCCATAGATCAGCATAGTTGTGCTGACACAACTGCATGGCTTTCAGCCCTCATGATAGTTACCTCTGCCTAATGCTGGCTGTGTTTTCCTTGACATGATGCAGGACTGTGTAGGGGGACTACACAGGGTCAGCTTGGCTTGAAGCTCCCTGCACTGCTCTCTCTCTGTATCCCATGAGAGGGTCAGACCTCCGAGAAGATCTCAGCTGAAGAGGGGTAGGGGTCAGTCTCTTCTCACAAGTCACAGATGATAGGACAAGAGGAAATGGCCTCAAGTTGCCCCAGGGGAGGTTCAGATTGGATATTAGGAAAAATTTTTTCAGTGAAAGGGTTATTAAGCATTGGAATGGGCTGCCCAGGGAAGCGGTTGAGGCACAATCCCTGAAGGTATTTCAGAGACAAGTTGACATAGCGCTTAGTGACATGGTTTAGTGATGTTTTGTTATCAGAGTTAGGTTGATTGTTGGATTAGATGATCTTAAAGGTCCCTTCCAACATAGACGATTCTATGATTCAGGATCCCAAGTCCCTTGCTTATTTTGGAATATGGTATATTTATATTCATACTCTGTCACGGTAGGAGATTGATGTACAAATAAAGCGACTCACCAAGGATACATAACAGGTCTGTGGCAGGGCAGGAATCAATTTCCATTTAGTTTTCTACTGACTGTTCCAGCAGGTCTTTCACACTCACTAGCTCAGCTGTTGTTTCTATTATACCAAATGATTAAAAGAAAGGCTTGCAGTGATTTTTAAAATACTCAAATGCTAATATTATCTACTTAAAGAGATAAATCTATGCCAGCATTCACTGTATTCTAAAGCTAGTTGAAATGTCTTCTGTTGAATAGTCATTTATACTCTAAAGAATACTTGTATTTTAAGTAAGCATACTGCAATTGCTGGGATTTATTTTTGAAGCATAGTTTGATCTTGCAGTTCATTACAGACAGGTGGAAGAACCTTGTAGCTGGATCCAAAGCTATCTAAAGTCAATTGGAATATTTTCATTGGATCCAGAGACCTCAAAAGGCCTAAATCAATATAGAGCAAAATAACATCAGTATAATAAATATCTCAAAAAGTTCTCTGTTCCTTTAATATCTTGATTCGATTTAGGGCGGAAGTAATGTTAAGCTGTATTAATTTTAATGCTCTGTGAAACAGCTTATGTTTTCTCAAAAAAAAAAAGCTGGCAACCATTCTGTGTGCTACTGTCCCAGAAACCTATTTTATGGATTTGGTCCTCGGCATCCTCCTCCCGGCAAGCAACAGACGAGCAAAGCAAAACCTTTTTCTCTGGGAAGCACAATGGAAAACACATCGGATTTCCGATCATCCTGCTTAAACAGGAGAACAAAGTGCTTTCTGTTGATGATAGTTCCCCAGTTTTTACTAGGTAGAGCACAAAGGCTTTGCGGGCAGATCCAAGGCACAGTTAGACCCGTGGAACAGCCCTTGAAGTGAAGTACACTCGCAAAGGGCATGTAGTCTTATGAAATCACACGCGCTTCAATGAAATTAGGTCTAAGCATTATATTTTTAACCATGACAGTCAAGTAGGTCAGTTTTTTAACTCATTAGCTGTAACAGTCTTGTGGAAAGAGTTATTGCTGCCTAGTTGTTTTTCCTCACTGGAGACATGGGCATGAAAGCACAGTGTCACAGTCCAAAGGAAATTTGCCGACAGCTTTTAGCCTCTCAGATGTTACTGTGATGGAGGCTATGTCTTCATCCTTCCTAATCTTTGTGAGAAGAAATTAGGGCAATAAATTTCTAATTTTAAGGATAAGCTGAGGTGGAGCTTGAAAGACCTATTCATGGGACCTGTCACATTTAGAGTACTTTCCTGTTCTTTTCACTCTCAGCATGTGAAATTGGACCAGTCTACATCCTTAAAAGCTAGCATGACTTCTGTAATGATGGAAGAAGACTCTCATGCTATCAAAACCAGAGGGGACCTTTGACAATAGGTTGAACAAATATCAGTTAAGAAAACACTTTAGGGTAGGGATATAGCTTTGTGAGATACCTTTCAGCTTGTTATTCCTGGAAATAATCAGTTCACACCAGAGATATTACATGCCCATTGCTAAGAGGCTCTGGCATTCATTGCAGTAGATCCGTTCCTTGTCAAGGTTCCCAAGAGCAGGTGCCATAGACGCTGCATGGTTATGGAAAGAAAGAGAAGGAAATCACACTGAAATATTTTATACTGAAAGATAGCGGGAAGTCAAAATCTAGTGATTTTGGAGTGTAATCTTAAAGTCCCCAGCAATCAGGAGAGTCTCTTCACTGTCTTCAAAGATTTCAAGACTAGGTTTTCATCACACAAAAATGTTATATTGAATGAAAAATACTGTTCTTGACAACAAACATGGTAAAGTGGTTGACTTACTGTAGAGCTCCTGATCAAAGTACTGTTAATGGAGAGTTAAACTAATTCTTCAGTTTATTAAAGTGGTCATAAATTGTTAAGCATTATTTTTCAATAATAGTGAAACTTACTGCTATTTTAATTCCTCAAGCCAATCCATGCAGTCCTGTTCTGCACATTGTCTAAGCTGCTGCTGAAAGAATCTTAGAAAAACAGCCTCTGCTGCCACAGGCAATGGCATTTTTCATGGTAGCCAAATTCTCCTCTCTGTATTTTGACCTTTCAGGCTTCTGCACAGCACTTCCACACACAGGACTTACCATTGCTCCCAGAAATAAAAATGTGCAAGACAGTGAGAAAAGAGGTGTGAGGGCTGGGATTTACATGAAAGAGTGCTGCATACCTTCAAAAATGGATTGTTACTTTATGAATGCTAAGTATATACTGAAGAAATATTGTAAAAACCAGTTGTTCCTTTTACATGGCCTGCAGATTATCAGGGGCCTCTGGTATAACTGTCATTAAGTAGTTTAGAAAATGCATTACAGTGAAGTGACAGCTCTTTTACATGCTGCTGCAGAAGTGTAGCAGGAGAGAGAACATCAGTTTGAGTCTCTTGAGCTAGCTGGCTTTTTTATTGCAACTAAGGCTTTTATTAGAAAAATTATCTTGCAATACTGTCTAAATGATGTACAGAAGAGTGAGGAAATACTTTGCGTAAGTTTGCTCATGAAACCTTGACTCTCCCACCTCTCCTCCTAAAGGAAGTGAGCATGACAGTAGTCCAAAAAGCACTGGATTCCTCAAAGTGTGGTTCCCAAGGAAATTATCAGGTGCTCGGGAAGAGCAGCTGTTCAGCCTCAGAAAAAGCTCTTCTCCCTGGTAGCAGCATGGCAAATTGTCCCCTGCTTGCCTTTGCCCTGGCTTTGTCCTGCCAGAGCTGGTTGCTCACTGTGGAGAGGTGGTGGCCAAAGAATTGGGCAATCTACCTGCTAAAGGTCTGCAAGACTTGGGACAGCAAGGAATGGAGAAGGTCCCCATCCCTCTGGTCTGCAGAGGCCACAGCTGGGTCCTGCACTTGCTTTGGCTGGGCTCTGCAGGCAGCATCCAGCTCTTCAGCTGGGCTGTCCCCAGGGGCTGCAGAGGAGTCACTCAATGTCACTGCGCAGCACACAGCTAATTAGCCCACAAGAAGCAAATTAGCTTATCATATAGGAAAGGGCAGAATAGTCTCAAAAAGGCAAAGTTGCTGTTTCTGTTTCCCTAAGAGAATCAATGCCATTTAAAAGGGTGTCGTAAAATCTATTTTAAAACACTGCAGGATATAAAACGTGGTGCCCTACAATCAAAGCTGTTCCTAAACAGAGAAAAGAAAGAATGTAATCTATTTGTAAATAGCTCTAGATCATAGTACTGCTGCTTCCCACAATCACATCATGAGTTTTATGATTGAGTGCTTTTAATAAAACAGTCCAGATTCTGAGATAATGTTTTGTTGGAAAATAATTTACTTTATGGTTCTGGACAAGAGCTCAAAGAGAAACCTATTAATGCCTATAGGACTAGAAAGCAAATAAAAGGAACCTATGAACCGTATATTTTGAAATCTAACACATCTGAGAGCTCAGTTCATGATTCTCAGCTACATTGTTGTTGTTTGAAGAGGTTTAAATGGAGAAGTCAGAATAGTATTCCATACTATTAAGCCAGGGATAAAACTCCCCTTACCTTCAGAGGAAATGCCGTGTGCCACACTTAGTCTAAAGGAAACCACTTTATGACACCTAGTGGACGAGATGAAAATTCCTTACTGTGCACTGTATTCTTCCTAATCATATTTGATCCCCTCCTCCTGCTTTTTTTTTTTTTTTTTATGTTTTGCCTACCTACTGTGACAAATTTTATGTTAAAATAGCATTAATCTTGTGAGTGTTGTGTGCCTGAAGGGAGTGCGTGGGACAAAAGACAGCTGCTTCCTTTCCTACTGCAAATTATTTGAAATCTGATTTACCCTGAACAAATTGTGTCAGGCTGTAAATCCACTGCAGAGCCCCTGTGATATCAGCAGAGTAGCAGTGCCTGTGGCCAATCTGCATATCTAGTAGGTTTTTTTTGCTCAGCGCTCTTTAAAGTAATAGTGGGTTTGACTAACCCTCACATCAAAGTGCATTAATGTCAAATCACTGAAGCGTGTAACGGCTGGCCGAGCCTGTCCTGGCAAGCCCTGATACCGTGGTAGCTCTCAGCAGCTGCTCCTGACACAACCAATTATCACTGGTATTGATAACCGTGCCTACACGCTTGAAACAGCTCCCAGTCCCATAGCTGAGCACCTTGTCAGTCGGGGAGCTAGGCTTATCCCTAACCAGCCATGCCTTCCCTGCCTCCCCAAATCCAGTACCTGCTGTACCTTCCCTGGTCTCTGGAAAGCTGGGATCCCCTTAGGGGGTGCCAAGGTGGCTACTTGAACTGTAAGTCTGAGTCTTGAGCTGTCAGCAGGCACAATGGTTAGAAATGAACACCTAGGAAAACAGCTTTCTGCTTTTTCATTCCCTGCTGTCTGTCACTCCACTATAGTATGGATGCTCTGAGGAGCCATGTTTCCGGGACTTCTGTCCCGTGCTCTCAGCACCAACCTGACCTGCTCACCTCCCTGTCTCTCAGCAGCCGAGGGGACCTGTTAGCTCTGGACCCCATTTTCAACTCTTGGATTGCAGTTGGAGGAGAGACAGACCTAATTTCTCTTTAGGATCACTCAGTTAAGCTCCCATGAATGTGGTACATATGCTTCAGATAGAGGTTAGACCAGACATTGCCAAATGCTGTGGGGATAATTGTTTCCCTGTGCTGCTCCACTCTCCCTTTGCTTAGTAGGACTGCTTTGTCCCAGAGAGAGCAGCAGCAGGGTAGTGCTCTGCCTTCACCAACACTGTAGTCCTTTTGTACCTTAGGACTGAAGGAGGAGTTTCTAAAGGTGCCACCGTTGGGGTTCTCCTGGATCTGAACAAGCACAACTTGACGTTTTACATAAATGGGCAGCAGCAAGGGCCTCCAGCCTTTGAAAACATCGAGGGTGTCTTCATGCCTGCATTGAGCCTCAATCGAAACGTCCAGGTAAGTCTTCTGCAGCTCAGTCCTGCCTACCCTTCTCATCTGAAGGAGAATGGATGCTACCGGCCATCACTGCTGGGGCTGTAACATCATCTGTAGGTAGTCAGTATGGATAGGGGCTCTTTTCTTCTCAGACTGACACATAGGCTACTAACACCTTTTTTTTTTTTTTTTTTTTTTGGAAAACTGCATTTAACTTTCTGCCTTGCCTCACAGATCTGAGGAGTAATGCTGTAAAAACAAGTAACAGCACCTGCACATGTTAATTCCTACACTTATTTTGATGGAATGCTCCACTTGGAAAACAGTGGTGCTAAGGCTTCCTCTGCCAGTTTGACAAAAAAAACCCCAATAGTATCTTAATTCCTCTTAGATCTTATGTTTGGGGTTTGTTAACATTGGCAAGAGACAGAAATGTGAGCAGCACAGGGGTAAGGAGAGCAAAGACAATGTAGGTCAGAGAATTAGTGCAACAGAGAAGACCCAGTAAACACATCATTCCTGCTCTTTCTGAGTTTTGAAGATTGCTCCCTGTTCTCAAGAGGATCTCCTCTTGGATGAACCCCCTTTAAATATAATGCATTTTGACTTTAAGACCAATGCATATGGTCAGGACATAGTGTAAGGAAGAACCTATGGAAACACCCAAGGTGTTCAGGAGGGAAGGGGGGAGGAGACTTGTTTATTTCAGGGGCTGAATATAATCTCCATTAGTATCCTTGATGACTTAAACCTGGACCTGAAGTCCCACAGCCCTTCCCCTGTATTGCTCTTGGCCTTCATGAACACTTTCTGCTGAGGATGTCCCAGTTTTGAATCTACATGCTATTTCTTCTTTGTGCAGGTGACTTTGCAGACAGGACTGGAGGTGCCACAATGTGTAAAACAGCCCAAGTTGCCCAACAACTGATGGACCCTGTGCTGGATTCTGTAAGCTTTCTCAGTGTGATTTGGCACTTTTCAGTAAGACAGCATAAAAACATCCTCTTCCCTGACTTATTTTACAGCATGTTGCTCACCGAACAATCCACTGGTTACAGTGAGCCCACTCCATTTTTAATTTAACAACAGCCATAGCAAGCACACCCACTGAACTGGCACTCAATTGCAGATGGGTTCCTGAACATATCTACACTGCATTGCAAACATATGTACACACATATGCGCACACATATGCACACACACACACGTACATTTATAAGGCAAAAGGTTAAATGAGTGTATTTTCTAGCTCATGGCTGGACTTGTGCATAAAAGATACTGGGGATGCTGGAAAAAATGGGTAAGACTAAGGCTGAGGGACAATGGCTGTTGGAGCAATTTGTTGGTAGGTGAGCTGGATTGCCTTGTCACCTGAAGTCCTTAAATCAAGAAAGCACATGTTTTGACAGCTGAAGTGGAGGCTGCGTACTCAAGAATTCCTGGTTGCCCATTACATTCAGGGGCTCATGGCCATTAACTATTCCTTCTGGCTCTGGACCGCATTAAGCTATGGGATAACATTCCCTTGGAGTTCAGTGGCACAACTTATTCTCTTCAATGAGAATAAGATTTGTTTTCAAACACTGCCATGCATAGTTGCCCTCATTTTAGCTCACACCATGATATATGCAGAATTCAGATACAAAAAGTTGAGAGCAAAAATATCCATGATACCTTTTAGTGTTTGTTATTTTGGTGTGATTGTGGAGACTCATACAGAAGATCTGATTGAGGTTATCAGCACAACTCTTGAGAAATGGTGCAGGGGAGATCCCTTTAAACTGAACTGATAAGAGATTTATTTAACTATGGCACATGCAAAGTATCCTCTGTAAAGAAATGCTGCTTTCTAGCCTTGATCGTGATAAGTCCTGGACAGCTGTAGTTCCAATGTAGCTTTGAGATCAGAAGCCTTAATTTTGTATTAGATTAGTGTAAGCTAATTAATGTCTTGATCCTAATGAAGCACTTGAGTGAGAGATACTCATAGTATTAATGTGAAATCCATCCCTAAGAATTTTTCAGGATTGGGACATAAAACTGAAAGAGGGGAGATTTAGATTAGATACTAAAAAGAAATTTAGTGGGAGGGTGGTGAGACACTGGAACAGGTTGCCCAGGGAAGTTGTGGATGCCCCATCCCTGGAGGTGTTCAAGGCCAGGCTGGATGGGGCTTTGAGCAACCTGCTCTGGTGGGAGGTGTCCCTGCCCATGGCAGGGGGGCTGGAACTTGATGATCTTTAAGGCCCCTTCCAACCCAAACAACTCTATGATTCTATAAATCTTTTGCAAGACTTACCTGTGTCTGGCATCTCCCATGAAAACAACTAGCCTTTTTATGTGCTGCCCATGATAAGTGGAGTGTGACTGACAGGGAACTTTTCCCACAACTGTGGCACTGCCACCTGCGTGCTGTTGTCAGAAAACACATTGATTTGTGTTTGTGCTTCACTTATTCTGAATGCAGTTAACATATGCAAGTGTGTGTGTGTATAGCAGTGACGTGTAAGGACAAGATGCAGCACTGAGTCTGTGACATCTCAGACTCTGTCACTCTGATCCTACGTAAATGTGGTGCTATCGCACAAGAAAAGCATAAATTCTTAAATCCCATCAATATACTACTTCCTTTTTTTGAATCCTGCTGCTAATACAAATTTCCCTCTCCAAGCATACGTATACGCACATGCATGTTGTTATCAGACATGTAATTATAAAACCTGAAAACAAATATTCTAACCAAAATCCAGCTTACTACTTTGCATTAACTACAGCCACAGGACAAACAGCCCAGGCCTGCTGTCGGGCAGCCTGTCGGCCCCCGGGCATCCTGCTGCAGGTCCACTTCTGCTCTCTGGCTGGAGCACATCACCCAGGTAGTGCTGAGCAATGGCAAGGCTTCCCTGGGGCAGAGTGGCCAGGAGCCTCCCTGGGGTCGTCCCAGCTCGCAGCCGCTGTGGGGAGGGGGAGGCAGCCCAGAAGGAAACAGTCCTGGGCTACTGCACAGACAAAAAGCCATCTGCCATCAAGCATCTCATAGCCTACCTCTCCTGCAGAACAGCTGTGCACCTCCAGTGATCCCAAAACTGAAATGGGAAACAAAACCAATCACGGGAAAAAATAGCGTAAGTGTTTAAGTGGGAAAACAACAATACTTTCTTCAAAGTCTGGAATGGATTGTATTAGTAAACTTGTAGACATGGGAATAACTGTGCTACGCTCCTTTTGCTTTCTTCAAGAATAGCAGAGACCAACTGTGTTATAATTTTTGGTTTCGTTTAATACTGTATGAATTCATGCAGGATTTTCTAATTAGTGGGTCTGGTTTAACCTACCTCAGCTAGAACGCTACCAGACCCCAAATTTCCTCTTGAGTGTGCTCATTGTAAAGTTGTCTTCTGCAAACCTAACAGTTGTAATCATAGCATTGGCTTTGAGTATTGCCGGTCAGAGCAGTGTATGGGAATACTGTACATAAGTTGCACATAGTTTTTTATATTGGGAAACATCCCATAGTAATTTTAATACAGAAGGCACTCCACTTTCACTTTTCCTATTAAAAACAAAAGGACATTGTTTGTTTTGGGACTGAACGTTTGTCTTTACTCCCAACTTCTGTGAAGGAAATTCAGATGAATTTACATCTTTCCAATCTTCAACCATTGCCAGATGTTTACAATTAATGGGTTCTGAATGGGTTTTAGAAGTGTTTGCGGTAATTCAGTTCTGGTTTTCATAGTTGCTTTGGTATCGGTTCCTGGTGTGTTATACCTTGGGGAGAAAGCAGTGAGTGATACAGGTTACTAATTTCTAATGGAAATATGCACAGTAGGTAGCAACAAGCTTCAGAGCTGTAGAGCAGCTCGTTTGTTATCCTCTACACATTCTAACATTCATAAAAGTAGGGTACAGACTAGCTACCATTACAGTCTCATTTTAATCCAGCGGAAACTCAAATAAAATAAAAGGAATACAGTTAGAAGTAGGTATTCTGCATTAGTAAGACTAATTTAGCCTAGGTCTAAACCTAAACAAAGTGGTTGTATGTGTTAGTTGTGTATGCGTTGAAGGACTTGGACTTGGCATGGCTCATAGCAATAAACAAAGTTACCCCAATAGAGTGTCTCATGCCTTCAAGCTGGATACAGTTTGATAGTTTGGGTAACAGAAATAATGCTTAAGTAGTTAGAATTATGCTAGGAAACTAATTACTCCACATGTGACTATTTATGCAGAGCATCCAGATGGCTGTAGCCATCTGAACACAGCAGAGCACAATTTTCCCTTTGGAAAACAGCATCAGGTGGGGAGAAGTAGGACACTTCCACCTCTCTGCTTGGGCTGGAAGTAGTTTTTTTCTCTGCAGGTAACTCTCCTGAGGTCTGCCTCGTTATAAACCCAGCAGTTCACATGTTCTTCACCTACAGCCTCTTATGCTACTTTTTGTTTCCTCCAAATCCCTTCTTCAGGAGGGATCCAGCTTTTAGTAGTTTGGTCCTTGCAGAAGCTGTGCTGCTGACTGCCCAGGGAGAACCCAGGGAGCTGAAGAGTAGCATAGGTACCAAAGGGGACCACTTTGGATGTCTCTTGCTTCCTTTTGATTCCTTGGGATGTTGGTGCCACTCTCTGGGACTCCAAGCTCCTCTGGCACCTGGACCCGTGCAGAGCTACCTTTCACGGGACTCTTCTGCTCCTAAAGGCTAGGCTGTTCCTTCTAAGTAGGAAAGCAAAGCCTTTTGCACTGGAATTAATCTCATCCACTGTGGTGCAGAGTCCACACAAAGTAGCTACATATTGACTTGATGTCTAAAAAGCTCCACTCCCTCCTCTAATAAACATAAGGAAGCTTGACTTCTGCATATGCCAATTTGAAATGCCTATACTGCTGCTAAATAAATACAGTGGCAAACTTTGTTCTGCAGAGCAACAAGGGACTCTCGAACCCCAACCTTATCCTTTGTGAACCTTCTTTCTGGCTCTTTCCTCTGCAAATTTCCCTGTCTTAGTGGGACCAAACAGCATTTTTCTATTAGGAGCACTGTTAGACTTCCCAAGGACTGCCACGCTACTCAAGTTCCACTCCCTTCTTTTCCCTCATCGACTCAAAAAGAGCTCACAAGAAGACCTCTTACTAAGACTTAATACCAATATGTGCACAGGCCTAGTTGACTAGTTACTACTTCTGCTGTGGAAAGGTACGCGCTATAAAATAAAAGCCAGTGAGGACAGTAGCATAATTTGATGTACCAAGAATTAGGAAAGCAATTTGGCTTCTAACAACATAGAAAAGACAGACAAAGAGCACTGTAATCTCCCATACTTGCCTATGCAGTTAAGATACATAGAGGAAAATATATTGGACTGAACAAAATAAATAAAACAATAAAAGCATGAGCTTACATATATCAGAGTTTAAGAGGAAAAGTATTAAATGTAATTTATTATATGCATAAAGTTCCATCGTGTTGTAAATAACGTCATGATAGTGTATTGCCGTAGTTCGTTCTTGGCTGGTGATAGAGCTCTGTCGTAGTGCTGTGTAAGGGTTTTTTTGTTTTGTTTTTCCAAATTGTAGTTAGTAAAGATGGGAGAGAGCACCCAATACTCTCGTTTCTGAGTTGTTCTAGAGCAAGAAATGTGAGATGCAGATTTTTTTTTTCTTACATAATAATATTTCTTAAACGAGGTAAGAGAAAGAGAGATAACATCAAGGCTAAGCTGCCACTATTACGATATGAAAGACCCTGTGTTTGCAACTGCCAACAAGAGGTGGTGCCATTTTTGGACCACAATTCAGATTATACGTCCCTGTGAGAAAGGATGCAAAGTACCAACAACCTGGTAGCAGTAGCTTTCTGGTGCCATCTAGTACATCCTTTGCTCAAAGAAAGAGGAGGAAAGAGAGTAGTTATATCCAATCTCAGGCTTTACCAGCTTTGCAGCATCCTGCTTAAATAGCAGAGCCCAGAGTTCAGCTTTGAACCAGGAAAGATCATATGAAAACCCCAAGCATCTTGGCTAGATCAACTTTGGAAGTCCTTCAACAGGTTATGGTAACAATTCAGCCACACTGCAAATGTAAAGGGCACTTGTCACTGAAAATTACCAAACAAAGATGGAGAGTCATCTTTTTTTTTTAATATATATTTGATTTTATTTTTTAAAAAAAGGTGAGCTGCTTCTAGTTTTTACTGACAACATTTTTGGTAATTCCTCTGCCCAGCACTACTGAATGCTGCACACACACAACTGGCTGGGGTGGCAGCCTGAAGCACAAATCCATCACAAATAAGACGCACTGGGTCTTCTTCCGTGCAGAAGCCCACGTGCAAGCCACAGAGAGAGCGCTGATGCGCGGGGCTCCTGCATCTTTGCACAATAGAGGAGACAGATGTGCGTTTTACTGACAAAAGCACCCAGCAGCATTTTCCCCTTCTGTTAAGCAACCCTTTGTTGCATTTGTTACTGCTAACGGATCCAAGCAGAATTAATTACCAAAATATCTTTTAGGCTAATTGAGAGCATTACTAACTTTTTCTTGTGAAACAGTAGATAGAAACATTCCTGGATCCCGACTGCATTCTTTCATCCTCCACCTCCCTTAAATGTTGTCAATAAAAACACTAACCTTTCTAGGTAGCATGGAGAGAAGATATTACGTGATGAATATTAAAATTAAATGCATGAGGTAAACCTGCTGTTATTTCTGATTGTTATATGAAGCATGAATAACACTAATTTAAATGTTGGCAACCCAAAAAGTGCAAAGGAATAAGATAACAGTGTTTGCTTCTGGTTAAATGAAAGACAAGAAGTTGTTTCTGTGTTTTCTTCTTAACCACGACATTTTTTTCTTTATCATTATTTCCCGTCGCTTATATGGATTTGGAGCTGGTGAAATATACATCTCTGCTGTATGTGTCTGTCACCAGATCAAGAGGAAAATAGAAACTTTTTATAATTTTGTACCTGTAGCAAACGTTTGTATTTTTTGAATTGGAAACAAACTGCTTTTTGTCTTTTGGTCCAACTAAAACTTTGTGTATTATTATTACCCTTTTGGAAAATCTGACATATGAGTTTATGCTGTTTTACAGTTTCTAAATAAATTCTTAAAACATTGCCAACAAATTCAGCATCAGTATCCTATTTATTATTACAAATCAATATAAACAAAACATTATATCACAATGTAGGCAAGGCACTTGTGTTGGATGCACACCTAACTCTAGCTCCTGATACCTGCTTTGTTACCACAGTCAAGAATAATCCAGTAGCTGGAGAAAGCCAAGAGCAACCATCCTTCCTGCAACTTCAGACATACCCTGGATTCAGTGGCATGAAACACAACCCTTTGTCAGCACCCCTCCGTTAGCTCTGTCTTATGCTGGTTATAGAGGACCTGGGGATGTGTTATCTAGCTCCAACCCACCCTAGACACTTCCAGTAACTTCCCAATCACCAGAAAATTTTCACACAACTTGGTGTCAACTCCTTCACTGCAAAGGGTTTGACTGGGAGGAAGAATAATCACAGTAGATTTAGTACATGGGGAAATGGGAATAAAGCTAACTGTCACAGGAAAAGGCACGGGAAAGAGAGCAGATGAGGAACCTTTGCATTCTTCCTGTACATCTCGTTCCTCTATTCCTCTGAATAGAGGAACCTGAAACCTTACCCTGCAGGTTTCAGGGCAAAATAAGATGGTCTCTGCTCTCCCTTGCCCACCACCAATCAGTTATTCAGTCAACACTGGCTTTCATGTATCAGCACATGCTCCAAAAGCAACACAGCTTGCTGCCTGAACATACACACACACACTGCTAATTAATAGCACACACCAGTCCAGAGAAACACTGGACTGAAGGCACCACGTTTAACTGAGAACAGCATCCTACAAGGATGTAGCATGGCCAGCTCCAATCACCTTGGGTATTTGATACAAAAAAAAAGCAACCTGTCACCATATAACAGAAACCTTTCATAATGCATACACATCTATGTTAAATGAGTGAGAAAATGCAAAATTTTGAACAAGCTTTTATTTTACTTTTTTTTTGCCTCAAGCTTTCACGTTCCACTGTCAGCTTGGCATTTCAGTTGTCAACTTTTTATTTTAAGAACTGAATTTTTCTCAACTTTTCTTTAACGGAGCTCACAAGTTTGAGCAAAAATTAGATACTCCATTCTGACCAAGTTTAACTCCTAAATAGCTTTTGGGAGCTGTGGAGGTAGAAAGCGAACCCTTTAAATTACCAAAGCTGATTGAGGACATGAACTCCCACAACACGTTCTAGCCAAAGCCAGCTGAAGAAAACTTAATCTAAAAGTGAGCACTGAAAAAATCAAGCTCAAGGATTAACCAGGAATTAAAAAATACAGGTTATCCCACAACATCCAAAGCCCATCTGTTGCCTCAACAAGCCTCCATGCTCTGTACTCAATCCTTAGTGATTACACCCTCACATGCAATTGTGACTTGACGTTTCTCTAAGTCTACATATTCAGTAACCAGATAGGATTAATTTCGGTTTGAATCTGCAACTAATATTCAATAAGAAATCAAATTACGCAATTACGAAACGCGATAACAGCATTTAGCAACCCAACTCCACACACCTCTCTTCTTCCCACGTGGCTCCAGAAACACTCCCGTCCGCTTGTTCCCCAGCTCTCGCTCCCTCGGGGCTCTCCCCCTCCTCTCAGCTCTCTCCGAGCTGGCAGGGCACTTCTCCAGGACCTGAAAGTCAGGTGGAAGGTAGAGGGGAAGGAGGCCGTGAGAAAGCATCTCTGTCTGTGGTGTGGCTCTCCCTGCCCCAGAACACTTTTTGATCCTGAGAAGGGGGCAGCCTCCGATGCCACTCTCTGGGGAGAGGACCATGCTGCTGTTCTTGCGCTGGCTGCAAGCTGCCTCCCACCTCACCACTTGCTCAGGGTTAGAGATCACCTTCTTCAGGCTCCCAGGCGGTGGTCAGAAAGCCCACTTCACCAGCCCGCAGGGGTACGCTGGATTTCACCAATGCACCTAGGGGAAGTTTCCCCAGTAAGGGCTGTTTTCCTTCTCACATATACCTGCTTCACCACCAGATCTGTTCAAACAAGCTCCAGATGTAACATATAAAGAGCACAGTGTGAACTTTTTTCTCTGTCGTTTAACAGTTAGCCTTATTTTTGCCTCTCCCTACAATACTTAAGTTCCTTTAGCTCGAGGTAGAACAGAGACCGCATTTTGGAAGGTTGCTAGCAATTGCCATTCCTAAGGCAAACACAAATTTAAAAAAAAATTAACTACCGAGGACAAAACCATTCTTTCAGAAACAGCAAATCACTGAAATCCAAACAGTGCTAAAACTTCGGTTTTGACAAAGATTTCATAGAAAAGCCTTACGAGGCGTGGGAACACTGATCAAAACAAACAGGAGTTAAACATGAACAACCAGTAGTTATTGGGTGTCTTACGCCTCAGTTGGCTCAGGTCTCAAGTCTTACACAGTTTTGGGTTTGTTGTTGTTATCAACCCACCAAACCACCATTTGAAATGGTGCTTATTTGGAGATCTCTGCAGAGATACACAAGTTATATCTTACCTAGGGTAAAACTTCAGAAAATGTCATCGTCATTCTGAAGTGGATAATTTTGAAATCTTAAAAGGTTTTGCTGGACAGGAAAACTGTTTGTTGTGCAGCTTCACTATCCACTAACAATTCATGTAGATAAAGAACCAGATGGATACGTAATAAGTGTTTGAGAGTACTTACTTCAGGTTCACAGCAAGCAACATATCGCTTGTTCAATATTCCTTCCATATGAAAGCAGAGTACTATACATTTAATCCATTAATTAATGGATAAAATTAATATTTTACTTGTAGACAACAAGCTGATTCTAGAAAGTTAAATGCTTTCTTCAGCACAGATTAACTGATAAAAAAACACCTGTATAACATTCTTAATAAAAATCTTTTTTTTTTTATTTATAAAATGGTAAATTCCAACATATCGCTTGTTCAATATTCCTTCCATATGAAAGCAGAGTACTATACATTTAATCCATTAATTAATGGATAAAATTAATATTTTACTTGTAGACAACAAGCTGATTCTAGAAAGTTAAATGCTTTCTTCAGCACAGATAAACTGGTAAAAAAACACCTGTGTAACATTCTTAATAAAAATTTTTTTTTTTATTTATAAAATGGTAAATTTTCATATTCTTCCCAAGGCAGAACAGAAGATCAGAAATCCTGTAACAACAAATAATGTAAAAAAAAAAACCCAAGGACATGGTGGGAGAGGGAGAGGTTCCATAAGTCTGCGTTAGTGGCAATGTGAATTCTGTCTTAGGGATATTGTCCATTTCACTCTGTATCAGAAGTTCATTTGATAACTTTAGATGATTTAATTTTCTTTATATCAGAGCTTTGCAGAATCAAGGTCCCATCTCTGAATTTTCCAACTTGTCCTGCAGGCCATATGCTAGGCACCGATTTCTTCCTTTTGGCCTTCCTGAAATAGGAAGGGATAAAAAAAATAAAGATTTAAGGGAAGCACCAGAAACTCATGAAAATGCGATAAAAAAGTAAAGATGTAAGGGAAGCACCAGAAACTCATGAAAATGCTCAGTATGGTGAAAAGCGTTGCCTATTTACACAATCAGTATTTGATATTATTGAATATCAAATGATAGCATGTAATGACCCCAGAACATTTGTGACCTGCATAGCCATTCAAAATTTGCAGCACATTAAGAAATGAATTAATTTATTAAAAAAAAAGTTTAAAAATAAAGACTTTCAGACAGAGAAAGAAGACAGAGTAGATTTCAGTGAACCTGCTACAGTAGAATGAAGAATGCCTCTTCACCTTACAAGCCTCTATACCGTAGTTTGTATTTTGCAGAAATTATTTCTCAGGGATATGAGCGAGTGTCATATCCTGGGTACACACACTCCAGCTGCAGTCTTAGACATGTCAGGGCAGAACCGACACGGTTTCAGTTAAGCTGTGCAACTAAGGACTCTGAAACTGCTAGACACTGAGCAAGGTCACCATTTTGTAACTACGATCTCTTCTACAGCTGGAGAAGTTCCTTCCACTGCGATCCGCATGGCTTCTGGTATAAGACTGTGCATATTTACACAGAGGAAATACATTGGGAAGGCTATAAAAAAGCAAGTCAATTTTAATCATGTTAAAAACGGCTCACCTGTCCTTCTGGTCTTTCTTCTTCTTCTTAAGAGAATCACCTTTATGTTCCTGTTTTTAAAGATACATATTTTAATGGAAAAGGAACAGAGTATCTCGGCTAAACAACCATCTGCACACAAAAGACGCAGTAGCCTTTGCTTCATGGAGCAGCAGTCATTTAAAGCAGGTTGTAAGACCTTCTGACAGGCCAAGTGATGCAACACGTTATGGAGGTGCTGCTAGGGGTGCCCAGAGCCCTTCTTATCACCTTATGGAAAGCACAACCCTCCCGTGACCAATGCGCTGCCCCTGCCATGTGAGGATGCACAAACCCAGCCCCAGGAGGAGAGAAGCTTGCCTCTTGGGCATGTGACAGAACCTTGGGTCAAAAGATGGATTTACTAGCAGATAGGTGTGCTGAGTCGCCTGGCTGAGTGTCCCTGTCAAATGACAGGGTTCACCTGCTTCTGGTCGTGCAGTGGATGTACTTTTGAGCCACATGACAGAGGAGGAGAAGTATGTCCCCTGGGAAAGGGGGTGGCAGGCAACAGGCTGATAGAGCAATTACCCGCCCTGCAGCCGGCTCCCACCTACATGCGAAAGCTCCACGGCAGCAGGGAACAGGCTTGGAGCCAGATGGGCTGTGCTACAGGATGGATGCAACAGAAACCTCACCCTTGCTTTAAATAGCGAGCAAGATCCCAGATGGAATCGTGCTGATACAAAACCAGCTGAAGATCCGGCTCTGTGTGGTTAGACAACATGCAACAAACTGCAATTGGAAGCCATTTTTTTTTCCCCTTAAGAGGTAAGGGAAAAAAAACAAAAAACCAACCTGCAGATTTTGTGCCATCAGTCTATTGGCCTCAAAGGATGAGGCAGTGAAATCCACCACAAAACAAGCCCTTCATACTGCACACAACGAGCTTTTACTGGTGAGATCAGTCCTGCTGGAGCCAGGAACCCTCTCCGTGGGGAGCAGCGGGTGTCAAGCTCAGGCACTCCTCCTGCGCCTGAGGCATTACCTGTCAGGCCCCTGGGCTAGGTCTTGTATCCTGTCTTTAGAGAAAGAAAATTTCACACAAACCTTTCCCTTGTTGTCATCTTTTGCGGCTTTTTTCTCTTTCATTTTCTCTTGGTAAGTCTTGTAGTTCACATGTTCCTTTTTGGGGGGCTGCAGCAAAGATTGGAGGGATACCACTGATTAAATTTTCACATAAGTTCAAAAAACATTCACACACTTGCATGGAAAATATTTTTCAGGTGATGGTGGGGAAACATTAGAAATGGTTTATTTCCTTTTGGGTGAGAGGAAGGGACTTCAGGGATATAAGGCAGACACTTAGTATCTTTCCTGGTGGAGACAGTAAAGAGGGGTGTTCATACTCGATATCAGTCCTACAAGGTGTCTTTAAGAAATAGTGTCAAAGCCTCCCAGTGTTTTCTACTACTTTCCAGCACTGTAAAAGTTGGATGACAGCCTTGCTCAAACCAAGCCACAAGTACCTTGGCTCCCAGCATGATAGCACGCTCCTGTTCCCATATGCGTTGCTCCTGCTTCTTGTAGCCAGTGATTCCAAACTTGTGCACTTCCAAACGAGCCTAAAACATTACAGAAAATTGCAAACATTTCAAAATTTGTCCAGCCTGTTGTAAAATGACACTCGACAGACCACAATGAAGTCATACTCCCAAAGAAACCCTGGCTAATACCTGAAACCAGCACGCTATAAAATAAAAGTAACTGAGTTTGGAGCTACATGGCAGAATGGTTAGCCACTGTCCTCATCTCTAGATGGTGAGATCAATGCTCTTAATTTCACATAAAACAATTAATATAATGGTACTCCTCTATATAAAAATCATAAGAACAAAAATGACAAATGGAAAAAAAGTAACCTGCTGTTTTAAAAACAGATGCCAATATGCTCTTCTTCCCCACCTCTCACATGAGGTCAGAAATCCAAGATTAATACTGTGGGCCTGAAAGAGCTGTGCTATACATCCCGGATGCTCACACAGCTCTACAGACCTAACACATGGTGACCCTCTTCAAATTCTCACTGAAAGATCAGAAAGAAAGGCCTCAGAGGGTGTAACACACCTCTCCTCACACAGAGCAGTTGACAACAGCCACCATGCTCCTCCTTTGGCATGGCACAAAGGCAAAAATACCCATTAGGAAATCCTCACCTCCAAGATGTGACCTTTTCTAGAAGTGCTTCTCATCATTCCCACCGTAGCTTTCCCAAGTACAAAAGCAGACACACCTGCACACTAGAATACTGAGATTCGCTCGGCCCCACTGACTCACCTTTTCAAAGTTAAATTCTTGTTCGTTTGCGTTTTTCTCTTCATCCACTATTTTGGTCTATAAACAAAATAAAACATTTTGAATTAATTTAACAAGTAACACCAATTTAAATGCTGATAGTGACAGCTTTTTGGAAAGCAGTGAAATGTAAAATGAGTTGCAGGCAAGAGTATACAGCTTTCCAGCAGTATCTTTTTCTAGCTTTATTACCTGGATTTATTAAAAGAGACCATCTCAATGGTATTTTTAATATGTGGATATTATAGAGTCTTAGTGGAAAAACCTTGCACAATTTATAGAGTATCGTTACAGCACAGCTAATAGAGCTTTGTCCTGTGCTTTCTTGCCTGGATGATCTGCTAACACTTAACAAGAGTTTCATAATTCAGAAAGGTATTGATAGTTGCAATTAATTTTTACACCTTCAAGTGTAAGTTACATTTCATAAGAGAAAAACTGCTCGTGTGAGCGACGCATCACGCATATTTCCATTTCCAAATCCGTACCAAACTGCTAACGCAGGACAGGACACGAACTTTAAGGCATCTTGTTTGAGACAGAGCGCAGCGGTAATAGTGCACGTCCCGATACATGGTGGTAACATGCAGAACAAGCTTAATTCACAACTGCATGGACGTATATTAGTGCATATATCCAGCTTAACTCATGCAAGAGGAAGGAAGCAAAGGAAGCACTGTCGGCAAATGGCAGACCCCACTTCACTATGTTCAAAGAAAGTACTTGCTCAAAAACAGATCAGTGAAACTACACAATTTCTGCTCTGCGTTTTACATGGGGACCTCCCATCAGCAGTTCTTCATTTGGAAGGGGACTTTCCAGGGGGGACAGACCATACCCTAGGAAGAAAAAGCGCAGTACTCTCAGGGAGAGCTCCATGCCTGCTTGCTACGGGATTGTCCCACACGGGACACTTCAGAGCAGTAACAAATCTCCCAGGGTTATTTTAGACTGTGTACGACTCCTGATTTTGGGGAGGATGTGCTGAACCCCCTCTGCACAGATACACTGCCAGCTCCCAGGTGTGCTGATGCAGGCAGACAGCACAAGGGCAGGGAAACTGTGATCTGTTCACAAGCAGCATCTGCTCATCTTTCCCTCTTTGCTCTCAAGGGCACTATCCCCTCGGAGGAAGCAGGAGTACTACATATGTATTAAAACTGAACCTGAATGCTTTTAGCACATTTCCTTTTCACTCGCAGGACGTTAAGTCACACTGAGTCACAGGTTCAGGTCCCAGGGTTACATCAGGGCTTCCCTCTGCATCCATCCGAGCCAAATCTAAGCTTCTCTCAATTCTGCAAGAGCTTCTATATAAAATCGTCCATTTCAACCACAAGAAAAAAAAAAGGTTATTTTCAGATCATCTTACTGATCCTAACACCAGTTTCTTCAGGCAGAAAAATTTAAGTTGTAAGAAGTATGAGAAAATAAATAGCTAGGGCAATTTTTTAGAGAAAAAGTACAAAAGTTTATGGATTCAGCCAACTGCTTGGCCAGTCTCTTGAACTTCCCAATTCCAAACAAACCTCAGATACCTGCAAGTCTCCCTGAATCAAGACAGCCATGTGTTGGCACATCAGAGCTTATTTCAGAATTGGGCTTCTGACTTTATGGCCATAAACAGAACTCACAGAGAAGCTATAAAATCTGGAGACCAACTAGTAAGCAAAGGACACTCTGCTCAGCATGGAAAGCAGCTCTGCTTCCAGCCAAGCCTATCCAGGCCTCCCTGTTGAAGCAACTCAGCTACAGTTTTTGACAGCACAAGGGAATTTAGCACCCACAAACCAAACCGGAGGACTGAGATTTAATGCAGTCATGCCCTTCCCCCACTGATCACCCAACACTGGTCCTCCAAGGTGCACGTTGCTTCTGAAGAGCCAAGTGCTGCTGTGATGCCAAAGAGAATAAAGCTGAGGCTTCTCAGCAGCACACAGAATGCTTGGGCAGAGAAGTAGCCAAGAGGCTTTGCTTGCTGTTCCATTGACTTCTTGCCATACCAGCAGTCCCACCTGCAGATCAACTTTGTGTCAGGACACACCTACTTCAAATACAGGATATTTATCCAGAGATCTTCTGAAAACAAAGAGTCTTCAGGTCCTGCCCTGACCCCTGCTTCATCCTGCCCCTGCCAGCAGCCACGTCGGAAATCGACAAAGGATCACAGACTTACAGACAGCCGAATTAACAATAGGGTCAAAACTAGGCACGGGAAGGGGTTAATTACAGATGGCATCTCACAATCTGTGGTGGCAGACAACGGAGATTGCAAAAACCCCTCAAACATGCCGAGGGTTTTGCTCGTTTTTATCTGCCAGCAGGACGGGGCACCCCAGCCCGGTCCCTGCTCCACACCAAGTGGCTGGAAGGGCTTTCACAGTGAAACAGACACCCGTGCCGTGAAGAACTGAGCCACCCTCACCGGTGCCGTGCCCACGGAGCGCACCCCGCTACCAGACGGCCGGGGGCCAGCGACACCCGTGGGTGCGAGGGATGGTGGCCATGGGCAGAGGGGACACCCTGTAGCCCCCCAGCCCTCCCCCCCCGTCCGTCCCTTACCTACCTGGGCACCGCCGGTGACCGCTGCCTCGGGGCCGGGCCGCCCCTTCCTCTTCCTCCCGCGGAACACCACCACCTCCACGGCCGGCGGCGCGGCGGGGGGCTGCGGGGCGGCGGCGGCAGCGGAGCCCAGCTCGGCCCTCAGCTCCCCGAAGAAGTCGCGGGCTCCGCGCCGCCCGCCCGCCGCTCCGCCGGCACTGTCCCCCGCCGCCGCCGGCTGCGGTCCCCGGCTCTCCGCCGCCTCTGCGCCGGGCTTGCTGTCCTCCGGGGCGCCCCGAGCACCGGGCTCCTCACCTGCGTGCGGGAACACGCGCCGCGGCTCAGCTCTGCGCGGCCGCCATCGCTCCGCTTCAGAGTGAACGCGCCCGCCCCACCTCCCCCAGGGAGGCCGCGCTGCCTCCAGCCCCGGTGCAGCGCCCAGCCCGGCCGCGCTCCCCCACCACCGGCAGCCCGC